TGTGTGTGTGTGGTGTGTGTGTATGTGTGTGTGGTGTGTGTGTGTATGTGTGTGTGTATGTGTGTGGTGTGTGTGTGTATGTGTGTGTGGTGTGTGTATGTGTGTGTGTGGTGTGTGTGTATGTGTGTGTGTATGTGTGTGGTGTGTGTGTGTATGTGTGTGTGGTGTGTGTGTATGTGTGTGTTTGTGTGATGTGCGTGTGTGCGCGCACGCGCGCGCGCGTGTGTGTGTGTGTTCCGGTACTGGGGCTTGAACTCAGTGCCTCATTACCTCAGCTGGTTTCCTTAGTCAAGGCTGGAGTTCTACTACTTGAGTCATACCTCCGCTTCCAGCTTTTTGCTGGTTAGTTGGAGAAAAGAATCATGGCTTTGTCTGCCCCAGCTGGCTTTGAATCACAATCCTCAGATCTCAGCATCCCAAGTAGCTAGGGTTACAGGGGTGAGCCAGGCCCTGGCTGAACCTAATTCTTGTTAAAGATAAAGATGACATTAGAAATGGAGTGTGGGGCGTTGATGCTGAGGGAACCAGAGCAGCAACAGACGTGGGGCTCAGACATCAAAGTGACACGGTGACCTTTGTCACTGGAGAACCAGTACCAGGAGGTTGTAAAGGATGAGACTGGAAAGACTGGGGCTCTGTCACAGAAGAAGCCTAGAAGAGCCAGCCACTTTGTACCTTTATTTGTAGAGAACTTGGAAGATTAGAGGCTCAACTTGGCTTTAGGAAATGAATAAAACAAAGCAATGCAAAACACATGGAAAGCCAAGTGTCACCCAGCAGATGCTCTCTGTCTGCTGAGATTCCTGAGGAAGGGAGATTTGTTGAATCCTTCCTTTGTTCCTTAGGTTTATAATTGTGAGCAATACACTCCATGCACCTGTTCTATCATCTATAAAGTAGGAATGTTAATATCCCTTTCATAAATTGATCAGAAGGATTAAACAAAATAATACCTGAAAATAGAATAATCATGTGTTTATCCTAGTCATGATTATTATAATACTCTTCATTCTATATCTTAATTATAATGATACTAAATTGAGTGCTAGTATGAAGAGGTCTTGACCTCATTATTGCTACGCCCATTCATTTTTTCTCTGTGACAAAAATACAAACCAAAGTTAAGCCAGCTGGTTCAAATCCTGTGGTTTGGATCCTGTGTTTTTAGATCAGGCTCTTTAAGAATGCTCCTTTCTGATTTTTGTTTCTCCTTGATGAAAAGCTCATGGTAATAGAATGATTTATGTAGTGCCTGGGCCTCGCTGTGGGAATTACAGTGGAGGTATTATATAACACTTGGAACAATTCCAGAACTTTCTAACTTCACCTTAACCTTGGAGCGGATTGTGAATGGGAAGTTTTTCTTATCCCTCCTATAAATCTTGATTGCCTACTGGTGAACTGGTTCCAAGGCTAGAATATCCATTGGTTCTAATGGAATTTCCACAGAGAACAGAATGCAGAGATGTTCAAGGGAGGAGAAGCATATTCTAGAAGGTGTAAGAAGCAACAGCGCTCATGAGGACACAAGGTGCTCTCGTTGATGAATAACTAGTCTCTGGGGAGATTAAGTATTAATTATCGTGGAGAGACAACAGTGAATAATTTGGTAGACATTATGTATAGTTTTCATATTTGCTGGAGAGGAATCATTTTCTATTGCTTTGTTTTCTTGAAAATACAAAACATGACCTACGCCAGAGATCTACCAGCCTTTCCCAGAGCCTTTCCCAGCACCCAGCTCCCCAGAGGCCCTCCTCAGAGAACAGAGCGGAGTGTCCAGACAGCACCCAGAGCACGCTGCATTCCCAGTTCTTTCGAACGGCTCAGCCCTACAAATCCAAGGTACTGCTCATCTCCTGGTAGAGTTGAACGTTGTTTTTGCAGACGGAGACTGGTCGTTGACTTCACCATGGGCCAAGGCAGGGCAGCCATTTACAAGAGCCGCACACACGTGGCAGAAGTCCCAGGCCTAGCGCAGCTGTCCTGGAAACACGGATGAGCAAAGGCTCGGGCCCAGCCTTGACACTGCAGCCCCGGGTCCCCACCCCCAGTTTCTCTTCCTCTGCTATAAGCAGATGAGACCCAGGCTGGCTGCCTACATTGCAGGGTGAGACAATTGCAATGATTGGCCGATACCGTAGCTTTATCCTTCTACGCACCTGGCAGGTTGGATGTAAGTGTGGTTTTCTTCTTTGCCTTCAGTTCTCCCAGGTTTCCATTTTCGTGTCTCCTGTCTAACTGTCTGAAGGGTTTTAAAAGACATTAATTGTAGCTTGATGTCTTAACAAAGCCAGTCACATTTTCCTCTGGAATTAAATGCGTTTGCTGCAGAGTTCCATGGAAATGGATACCGTGTGGGCTGGAAGTTTTCTTTCTGGAGCCCTAGGATGGAAATGTCTTTGGTCACTCTTGGCCACCATTCATGAGCACAGATTCTCTTTATTTCTAGAACCCATGATCACCATCAATAAGCACAGATTTTCTCTATTTCTAGTAAGAGAGGAAGCAGAATATCTGTCTGTCTGCCAGCCTGTCTATCTGTCTATCTTTTTTGTGATCTTCCAAATTACAAAGCTCAGTGGTTGAATCTTTCTTATTTTTGATTGAATTGAGAGGAGGGCAGGCTGGAGCAGATACAAAGGTGTCTGAGATTGGCCCCACAGGATCGTGTGAAGAACAGTGGAATGCAGATGTGAGCAGTGGCAGGAAGTACATGGGGATTGGGCATCCATCACAAGCTACAGAGAGTGGGTTTAAAATGGGGAGAATTAGCTCAGCATTACCAATAGATAATGGTCATGACCATCCATAGAGAAGCACCTGTAAGGTAAAGGGAAGAACACATGGATTTCCATGCATGTGATCCAACCAGGAACATTTTACTTTTCTTTTTTGCTTTTTTGGCTGGTCCTGAGGCTTGAACTCAGGGCCTGGGCACTGTCCCTGAGCTTCTTTGGGCTCAAGGCTAGCACTCTACCACTTGAGCCACAGCCCCACTTTCGGCTTTTTCCTGAATAGTTTATTAGAGATAAGAATCTTATGGATTTTTCTGCCTGGGCTGGCTTTGAATCACAATCTTCAGACCTCAGCCTCCTGAGTAGCTAGGATTACAGGTGTGAGCCACCAGCATCTGGACAGGGACATTTTTCTAAGAGGAAGATGATTCATCTGTTTGGTAAGGTGAGGGTTTTTTTTTTCAGAATTCTTTTATGCGATAAGGATTTCAGCTAATTGTCATGAGAAATTAAAAGTTATCACACAGTTCCTGGCTAGATCTCAAAGCAAGACTAATTCAGATTGTGCTAAATGTATTGAAAGAACCTCAGCTTAGGGCCTCTGAATCTCTTATATACAACAAGAAATGCTTTGAAAAGTCTAAATTTTCCTTGCTGGATTATGAAGTCTCTTCATAGTAATTATTTCTTCTTCCTCCTCCTCTTCTTCTTCTTTCCTCTTCTTCTTTTCTTCTTCTTCCTCCTCCTCCTCCTCCTCCTCCTTGCCTTCTTCTTCTTCTTCTTCTTCTTCTTGTCTTCTTCTTCTTCTTCTTCTTCTTCTTCTTCTTCTTCTTCTTCTTCTTCTTCTCCTTCTTCTTCTTCTCTCTCCTCCTCCTCCTCCTCCTCCTCCTCCTCCTCCTTCTTCTTCTTCTTCTTCTTCTTCTTCTTCTTCTTCTTCTTCTTCTTCTTCTTCTTCTTCTTCTTCTTCTCCTTCTTCTTCTCCTTCTTCTTCTCCTTCTTCTTCTCCTTCTTCTTCTTCTCCTCCTTCTTCTCCTCCTTCTCCTTCTTCTTCTTCTTGTTCTTGTTCTTGTTCTTCTTCTTCTTCTTCTTGTTCTTGTTCTTCTTCTTCTTGTTCTTCTTCTTCTTCTTCATCATCATCATCATCTGCCTGGGTTGCCCTTGAACTTAAATCCTCAGCTCTCAGCTTTCTGAGTAGCTAGAATAACAGGTGTGAGCCACCAGTGCCTGGTTTTCTTAGTATTTTCAAAATATCTCTAGGATACTTGTCTTGCTTTAGGGAACAAACACACTGCATTTGAGTAGTGGGGATCCTATTCCTATTTCTCTTCCAGCAGGAAAAATCTGGAATCCCTCATAAATCAAGGAAGAAGTCAAAAGAAACACAGCACGTAGAGGACGCTGAGTCTACTGGCTTTATCTATCCATACAACGACCTGCTGGTCTGGGCGGTGCTGATGAAGCGGCAGAAGATGGCCATGTTTTTCTGGCAGCATGGGGAAGAGGCCACGGTCAAAGCAGTGATCGCTTGTATCCTCTACCGAGCCATGGCCCGGGAAGCGAAGGAGAGCAATATGGTGGATGACACTTCCGAAGAACTGAAAAGTTACTCAAAGTAGGCATTCCTTCTTTACTTCCTACTAGACCTAGGTAGTAATTAGAATGGCTAGACACTTTCCCTAACCTTTGTACTTGTAACGTCAGTAGACTTGTCATGTGCATTCGTCAGGGTTCTCCAGAAAGACAGGACCCTCCCCCACCCCACAAAAAGGATGCCTAAGTAAATATAGGAGATTGGATTTGTTAAAGAAATGGCTTCTGGGATCATGGTGGCTGATGTCCTATGAGATCAGTGGGCTAGAAACCCTGCATTAGTTCAAGTCTAAAGATCTCAGAATAGCAGAGCACCTGTAAGGCTGGTGAAGGTATTGTTGGTGTAAATCCTGGAGACCACTGCTTCTGGAACCTGGACTTGGATATCTCCAAGGAGGGAGATGAGTGAATCACAGATTCAGGGCCAGACACCAATTTATCTTGCTTATTTATCTTGTTACTACTGTTCTAAACCTTGGGGTTTGGGCGGGTTGGTGTGGCCGTTACACGGAGGAATTATCTTCTCCTCTTAGTTCCTATTGTGGGAACACAGAGCCAGAGACACACGCAAAATAATTCTTTACAGGGTTTCTAGATGTATCTTAATCTAGCCAAGTTGACACTGAATGTAAACTATCAGGAGGGGATTCTCCTATTAAAGAGGATTTATTTTATTTCATATTATTGCTCCATTGAGATAGAGACTTTTTACACAGCCCAGAGCAGCCTCATTTTGCTCTTGCTTGCCAAATGCTGGGATCCCAGCCTCGTGTCACCACGTCCAGCTGCTTTAGGATTTAAGGAACATGGAGAGCTGGGTTGGTCCTAAGTCCAGCCGTTTGCCACTTGGGCAAGTAAATTAACGACATCTAGACCTCTATCTCAGTTCCTAGTTATAGTGTGTGTGTGTGTGTGTGTGTGTGTGTGTGTGTGTGTGTATGTGTGTGTATGTGTGTATAAATATAGTCTGAGTTCAAGTCCCAGGACCTGTGTGTTATCCCTGAGCTTTTTAACTCAAGGCTAGCTCTCTATCCCTTGAGCCACAGCTCCACTTCTGTGTTGTTGTGGTTGGTAGTTTTGTAGGGAGAAGAGTCTCTCAGACTTTCCTGTGTGGGTTGGCTTTGATTCACAATCCTCAGATCTCAGCCTCCTGAGTAGCTAGGATTACAGGCATGAGTCATTTGGTGCCAGGCTAGTTAATACTTTTTAAGTGAATGGTGCCAAGAGGCCCTTCAGACTTCCAAAGCCTTTGATGCTAAGTTAAGACTTGTGTGTACCAGAGATACTTACAGTTAACACGTAACTTATTTATGGAAAGTTACAACAACAAAGAAGAAACAGAGAGGAATGGTAGAAGATAGAAAATGTTAAAAGTGTTTCAAGTTCTTGTGATTACCGGAGTGTGAGTCATAAGTACAGGAGGTAAACTAATGGAAACTAATATATAATCTTCATTTAAGGTTCCAAAGGATGACATATTTTTTTTCTCCAGAGAAAACAACTTCCTGGAAAATTCCAGGCAGGTGTTTTCAGAATTGGCTTCCTATTTGTTATCAAATTATTTTGTCAGAGCTCATCAATACATAAGTAAATAAATAGTGTTTCCACAATGTTCCTGAGTCACTCATTGAGATTTGAACAGTGTTTTCTGTGTTATAATATACTGGTTGTCTATCTAGTGCTGAGTGTCTTATTATGAACAGTTTAGGTATAGACTAATTTTATGTGCTGTAGTGTAAACACACTCAGTCTGAGAAAATTCCCTTTCTTGAGCAGCTAGACTAGTTTTTTTTTTAAGAGACTTTAAAAAAAAGTCTCTGTGTGTTCAGATACTGGGGCTTGAACTCAAGGATTGGGGGTTGTCTCAGGTTTTTTTGCTCAAGGCTGACATTTTACTATTTGAACCATAGCTTTGCTTCTGGATTTTTGATGGTTAATTGAGCATAAGCGTCTCAGATTTTCCTGCCTGAGCTAGTATTGAACTGCAGTCCTCAGATCTCAGCTCCTGAGTAGCTAGGATTCTAAACATGAGCTACTGGCATCCAGCTGCACATGGAGACTCTTATTCATATAGTGTCTTATTGCTTTCTGTGTGTGTGTGTCCTGGGGCTTGAACTCAGGGCCTAGACACTGCCCTTGAGCTTTTTTACTCAAGGCTAATTACCACTTGTATCACAGCTCCACGTCCAGCTTTTCTGAGTAGTTTATTGGAGATAAGAGTCTCACAGACTTTCCCGCTCAGATTGGCTTTGAACCGCCATCTTCACATCTCAGCCTCCTGAGTAGCTAGGGTTACAGGTGTGGGGCACTGGCGCCTGGCACATGTCATTTTCTCAGATACCCTGGTTCCCTGGTGTTTTTGGGGCGTCCTGTTCGGTCTTTCAGACTGTTTCTGGTGCCCTGGCCACCTCTCTGTTCCCTGGGTCATTGCAGGCAGTTTGGCCAGCTGGCCCTGGACGTGCTGGAGAAGGCCTTCAAGCAGAACGAGCCCATGGCCATGAAGCTGCTCACCTATGAACTCAAGAACTGGAGCAATTCCACCTGCTTGAAGCTGGCCGCGTCCGGGGGCCTGCGCCCCTTTGTGTCCCATTCCTGCACCCAAATGCTGCTCACCGACATGTGGATGGGCCGCCTGAAAATGAGGAAGAACTCTTGGTTGAAGGTAAATTCGCCACCAAAGGGAGCTTCGGGTGTAGTAGTTTCCCGTGGAAGTGTGGGCTCCTGCGGGCCCCGTTTCTGTTCATTCCGGAGGGGTGTCTTCAGGAGCAGGGGTTCACACTTGGCCGCAGGGCAGCTGGGCTCCTCCCAGGGGATGCTCGGAGAATGGCTTTCTCTCCAATTGACACAGTGACTTTGCCAACGTGGGGCTAATTGTACCCACAAAGCCACGCTCATGTGAAGGTGGTCACAAGATTATGTACAATCAACAGGATCAACACCAGAAGCTGAATCGTGTTTGGCAAGAAAAGGGTAGGGTTTAGGGGAAGGGAGACAGGAATGGAGAGAGATACAGCCATGATATTCAATGTACATACGTGAAAATGGAAATATATACGTGGATGTTCCATTATATGTATATATATATATATATATGCATATTGTGTGTGTTGATATGCAACATCCCAAACAAATGACTATTCTAAAACATATACACACAGGTATCATATATAATATACATACACATACACACATATGTGAAAAATATATATGTTCAAGGTGTGTATACATATACAGGTATATATATATACACATATATGATATATGTACACATATAGATACCTATAGATAGTCATAGATAGCTAGATGATAGATAAATAAATAAGTACATAGACACACATTTAATGGCTGCAGGAAACTCCAAGAAATGAAAAACAGAAGAGATTTTAATATCCACCAAGGACAGAAACAAGAGATCTGTTATTCCAAAGCCATTTGAGCCAGGTATCTTTGGCTCATGCCTGGAATCCTAGCTCCTCAGGAGGCTGAGATCTGAGAACTGCAGTTCAAAGCCAGCCCCGGCAGGAAAGTCCATGAAACTCTTATCTTCAGTTAACCACAAAAAAGCCAGATGTGGGGCTGTGGCTCAAGTGGTAGAATGTTAACCTTGAGCACAAATAGCTCAGGGCAAATGTCCAGGCCCCAAGTTTGAAGTTGGATTAGCCCAAGGAGAAACACAAAGTGATTTCCTATCAATTCATTTTTTTTTTTAGCAAAATAGTGAAGAAATATAACTGGGAGATCTAGGCTCCGACCTCTCTTCTGTGAATCTGGCTCCTGACTCCAACACAGTACCGAAAGGGAAGTGGTGAAGGGTAGAGAGAGGGATTTGTTAGGTGGCCAGGGCATGCTGTGGGAAGAAGAGCTGGAAAGCACTTCAGCCTACCCTGGAGTACTGACATAATCCTGGAGTACGGACATGAGCTTTAGGTTTAAGTGGGGGAAGAATTGGGGAGGAGTGGAGAGCTGTGCACGATAGTGTGATGATGCAGTGTGATCACAGGTGTGGTGTGGTGGTCACAGGTGGCTGGTTGTTTGTTATCTCAGCATTGGTCACTATAAGAATGCCATTGCTAGCTGGGTGCTGATGGTTCATTGCTGTAATCCTAACCACTTAGGAGGCTGAGATCTGAGGATCATGGGTTGAAGCCTGACCGGGCAGAAAAGTTCTCATGCAACTCTTATCTCTCATTAACCACTCAAAAACCAGAAGTGGCTCTGTGGCTCAAGTGGTAGTGTGCTAGCCTTGAGCACAAAGAGGCTCAGGGACAGAGCCCAGACACTGAGTTCAAGCCCTGTAACTGAACAAAAAATAAAAAAAATGAAAAAGTTATTGCTTTCTTATAGTGCAGCTTCAACTCCTGTCCTTCCTGAATTCCAAGGTGGCTGCAAGGTAACTGTAGGAGAAAATGGCTCCAAGCAAAGGGTGTAGATTCAAAGTGGAGACAGAAATGCCAAACATGTATCCTGTTCTTAGTTATCCTCGAGACATTGTGTCTTCTCCTACCCCCTTGGCCTTTTTGGTTCTAAGTCTGTGCTACAGGAAGTGCTTTGGGAAGTTCTCCATTGCTCTATGTTGAGTTCAGCACTGGAGACGTTGACTCAGAGATGTGAATGGGTGTTTCTCTCTCCTTCCCTAGCTCTGACAATAACTTCGCTTAAACACCCAGGGAGTGAGAGATGGGGGCACAGATGACTTGATAGTTTGGGGGGATCATTTAGCCCATCACCATGCCTTATACCTTTGTGTGAATGCACGTGCGTTGATCTTGGGGCTTGATCTCAGGGCCTGGGTGTTGTCCCTGAGGGTTTTTTTTTGTTGTTGTTCAAGGCTGGTACTCTGCAAGTTGAGCTACTGCTCCACTTCTGCCTTTGTGGTAAATCATTGAAGATAAGAGTGTCACAGACTTTCCTGCCTGGGCTGGCTTCGAACTGTGAACCTCAGAGCTTGGCCTTTGACTAGCTAAGATTACAAGCATGACTGCCTGTGCATTCTTCAGTTTACTAGAAGTCCTTATTCCTGAAGGCTTTATAAATTTTGTTCTTCATATATTTCATATGAGAGAGAGAGAGAGAGAGAGAGAGAGAGAGAGAGATTCAAGGCTGAATTAGCTTCATAAAGTCTCTTAGTGCAGTTAACCATTGTTCTGCAGTTCCTAACACCCAATCATCAGGCAAGGCTAATTCCAAGTGAATGAGAGTGCAGTAATTTCATATAGAGTTATGTGGGTGAGAAAATTTATTTCACTGCTTTTTAGTGTGATAGGCTCCAACCTAATTCTTGGAGGTGGGCACTGCTATGATTGACATGGATATTGATGTTTCACATGTCTATAGTTATATGGTGGGGAAAGAGAATGGAGTATAAGCTCCTCTGGAAATGGAATTACTGTAATGCTATTATTATGTATGGTTTTTACTATTTTTTCCAGAACTAAAAAGGTCATATTTTAGGTTGGACTTCAGAAAAGACAAACTAACTTGTGTTAGAACTAGAGAAAGTCCAGAGAATCTTTGCAGGAGATCAAACTTTAAAATAAAACATGAAAAGATCATTTCAGCATGAAAAAAAAACCCAAAAATGCAATGAAGGTTAACAAGGATGTGTGTGTGTGTGTGTGTGTGTGTGTGTGTGTGTGTGTGTGTATGCTTAAGTGGAGATAAAAGTCTCACAGACTTTTGTGCGTCAGCTGTGTTTGAACTGTGATCCTCAGATCTCAGCCTCTTGGATGACAGGTGTGAGCCAGGAATGCTCAGCTTGTAATGCTTTTATACTATTCCTCTATGAAATGATCCACGATGATTTTGTATATGTGGACATTTAGATTGCTACTAGCTGTTGTTTGCTGTGTTTTTCAAGTAGCACTTCAGTGAACATCCTTACCCACATATGATTGTACGCACGAGGATTTCTGTGAAAAACGCTCACAGAACTGAATTTGCCATGCCAACGCTCTCTGTAGAATCTGCACAGAAATTGAAATGGGAATGGATATGACTGACGTCTCTTATGTGTTTGAAGTCTTAGTGTTCATTTCTGGGCAGTAATAGTGTGTATTTTCTTCTCTTTTTACTGACAGATCATCCTAAGTATTCTCGTGCCACCAACCATTTTGACACTGGAATTTAAAAGCAAAGCTGAGATGTCACATGTCCCTCAATCCCAGGATTTCCAGTTTACGTGGTATTATGGTGACCAAAACCTTGACACCACCAAAGAAAATGCTTATGCGGTCAGTACAATGTCATACTGAATTCTGTTTCTGTGAATTGACTGTGCATGAACATACATAGCTATCAAGTTTACTCATCTAGAAATGTTTGGTGGGGAGAGGAATAAAGCCTCATTACATGGCCAAGCTTGGCTTCTAACTCATAATCTCCTGTCTCAGCCTCTTGAATGCTGGGATGACAGGCAGGCTTTCCCACATCTGTCTCCAGTCATCTGTTCAACAATAACTTCTGTTGCCATTGTATTTGAGTCCCATTATTATTATTATTAATTATTATTATTCCACAATGTCTCTTACTGTCAATCGGACATGTAGTACTTTTCTATCTAATCACAATCTCATTATAAACTAATGCCCATTAGTGCCTGTACAGCAGACCTAGTGAACTCCAGTTAAGCCATATATTCCTTTTCTACTTCAAAGACAAAAGAAAGGACATTTTTATATCACTTTTCTTTGGAGCGTAGTAGCATAAATTGTCTTTTGCTTCTGGAAAGTAAGCAGTTAAGGAGGCCTTGTGCCCCTGAAATTTTTACTTATAAAGATGCGCATTAAGAATTTGTGCCAATTGTCACTGGTCCAATCTGCAAGTAGTTGTACATGTCACGTTTGGTGGTTATCCTCGGTATTAACTCTCATGGGTAACTCGAGTGGCCTCTCTAGCAGCCTGTGGTCACTGCAAAGAAACCCATGTGTTGTGAGGATGTTCTTTACCTGGCATGTTTCTGCTTGGACCATGGCTTATAAAATACATTCCCTGTAGGCAGCTGCTGGTGGCTCACACCTATAATCCTAGCTACTCAGGAGGTTGAGATCTGAGGATCCAGGTTCGAAGCCAGCCTGGGCAGGAAAGTCTACAAAACCCTTATCTCCAGTTAACCACCAGAAAACTGGAAGTGGAGCTGTGGCTCTAGTGGTAGAGTGCTAGCCTCGAACAAAAGAGCTCAGGGACATCCCTGGGCCCTGAGTTCAAGCCCCACAGCTGACAAAAAATGGCAAGAAATCCAACCTTCCCTGTGAGGTGTACTAAGAATGTTCTCTAGTACATGTTTTACATCCTTCCTGTTTGTTTAAGCCTCACTAGGCTTGAATTGGGACCTCAAGTACCGTCTTCGAACTATTTTGCTCAAGGGTGGCACTCTACCACTTGACCCACAGCTCCACTTCCTGCTTTTTTGCTGGTTACTTGGAGATAAGAGTCACAGACTTTTCTGCCTGGACTGGCTTTGAACCCCAATCCTCAAATCTCAGCCTCCTGAGTATCTAGGATTACAGGCATGAACAACCATGTCTTTTCCAATGCGTTTTTTAGGATTGTGAAAGTCTTGATTATACTATTTACAAGTTTATTTAGTAAATACTAAGCAAAAAGTAATTAAGTATAGTGTGTTATTTATGGCATTGGTCAGGGATTAATTGAGCATCTGTTCTGATAGGTTAATGCTTCTGCTGGATTATTTGAATGACAATACCTGTTTGGACAAGTGTGCGTTCTGGTCTCCTCTCTCCTCATTTTCCCTTCCTCCTTCTCCCCTTCCTCCTTACTGTCCCGTCTCCCTGCCTCCCCTCGTTCCCTCCTTTCTGCCTGATAGTTCCACCTGACATTTTCAGAATCCAAAAGGGCAGGTACATTCTCAACTGGACTTTTTATTAGCCCGAATCTAGCACTCTTCCACTTGAGCTCAACTTCTGGCCTTTTGCTGGTAATTTGGAGATAAAAGCCTCGTGGATTTTCCTGAGTAGCTAGGATTACAGATGCAAGCCCCTTGCATCCAGCTGTCTAACGTTTAGTCCGCTCTTGCATTAATGTATTTAATGTTTAATACACCCTTCTATTAAGGAATGCATGCACCCTCTATTATCAACCATTATCAAATTCACAGGGATTACTTCATGATGTATCATTTATTGTATTTTTGGATGTCTACACTGTTAATATTTGAGTTACGTACCTGATAAGAAATTATTATTATTCGTTGACTATTATTGTTCTTATTATCCTCATTATTTTTTGAGTGGAGTTGCTGGGGATTGAACCCGTGGTGGCTCATTCCAAGCAAAGCAGGAACTCTATTACCGAACTACACAGCTACAAAGTTGTTGTCTGTTTTACAGAAAGACTGTGATCTGGAAAAGGGCTTCGATGAGAAATTGGATGAAAATCAGCACTTTCATGTACGGGACGGACCCCGGGGGCTGCCCTGGACTGGGAAAGTCTATGAATTCTACAATGCTCCCATTGTCAAGTTTTGGTTTTACACGGTTGGTGTCTTTACAACTCTGTTTGACAGTTCACAGGTGATGATCATTTTGATAATGATCGACGTGATTTGTCAGGTTGGAATAAATGATAAGACATGTCAGAATCAAAAAGGGAGAGAATGACGACAGAATGGATGAGGAGGACTGGAGAAGATTGGGAAAGGAGTGCTGTCGGAGCTGGAGGACAGGCATTCCTTTCTTGGAGTGCTTAGCACAGCGAGACCGAGCACTCAGAGCACGGAGAAACAGTGCACCTGAACTTGGCAGTGCTCTTTGTAGCATTAAGTGTCAGGTGGGCAGATTCTCTTCCCACCCCTTTTGCTGGTCCTAGGTCTTGAACTCAGGGCCTGGGCACTGCCCCTGAGCTTCTTTTGCTCAAGGCTCTACCACATGAACCACAGCACCACTTCTAGCTTTTTCTGAGTAGTTCATTGGAAATAAGTCTCACGGACTTCTTTTCCTGGGCTGGCTTCGAATCACAAGCTTCAGATCTCAGCCTTCTGAGTAGCTAGGATGACAGTTGTGAGCCACCGGCGCCCTGATTTCTCTTCCCATGTTGAGCAAGGAAATCATTAGGTGAATCAGTTTTTTTTTCTTCATAGGAATTATGTGTTATACAGACAAAAATTGCAAGTGCTTTTTCCTTCAACAGAATTTGCTTATGAATGAGCCGAGAAGAATAAAAGGTAGAAGCTGAATTCTGTGATCAAATGATATATTTTCTTTGTGGAGAGTAAAGATTCAGAGCAAGTACACACACATAGTGTGTGTACTTTTCACATATATAGTTGTGCTTATTTTTCTAATGCTTATCTTTACTTATGTGCACAGACCCATGGCTTTGTAATCCTAAAGCATTTAAAGTAAGACTATAGAACGATTATTATCTAAGTATATATTCTATTGGCGTATCAAGATATTATTGGCCAACCACACAATTACTTTATATACTGGTTGAATAAATATGTAGGTTTGAATAACTTTTGTCTAATTTTAAACATCAATTATCCCTTTCAGCAATGAGATTTTATCACTTTTACAAAGAGGCAGTTGCATATTTGATAAAAGCTAGGAGGGAATCTTAACTGAGCCACATAAACAGGGCTAAATATCAATCTAAACACATTAGAACCAGGTGCCAGTGGCTCACACCTGTAATCATAGTTACTCAGGAGGCTGAGATCTGAGGCTAGGGGTTTGAAGCCAACCTGGGCAGCAAAGTCCATGAGACTTTTATCTCCAGTTAACCAGGAGAAAAGCCGGAAGCAGAGTTGTGGCTCAAGTGGTAGAACACTAGCCTTGAGTAAAAGACCTAAAGGACAAAGCACAAACTTAGAGTTTAAACATCAGTATCAGCATAACAAACCAACAAATAAAGGTAGGCTCAGACTTTGTTGGTGACAGTATAAATTGATCAAGCTTTTCTGGTAGATAAAGTAGTAATATTTGTTTCAAGTTTGAAATGTGCCTGCCCTGCTGTTTCACTTGTAGGAAATTATCTTAAGACCATAAGAACATTAGATAAGATTATCAAGCTATGAATCTCTATGTGTATGTACATTTATTACACCTTAATTCTCTGAAGAGATTAAAATCTAGGTTTAAAACACATAGTTAAACATTAAACACACATTTATTAAATGTCTACTAGGTATCACCCAGAGTGCTGATTTAAAAGAAAAATCTGCAAATACTCTTTCATTGTAAGGATTTACAGTTGGACAGAACTTTCCTCTTATCCAGACTATTTTAATCAACGTGGAATAAAACTCTAGCAAGTCATTGAATTTGAAACAGTCATAGTCTATTGAATTTAAGAATCTGAGTCTACAGCGGGCACTCATTGGGCATGCTTGCTGCATACATTCACCGGGAGAGTGTGTGTGTGTGTGTGTGTGTGTGAGTGTGTGTGTGTGTGTGTGCGCGCTTGCGCTCACTTCCTCCTAGTTTGCTGTCAGCCTGCCATTCTGCGTTGGAATGTCCCGTGTTCTGGAAATTCCAATGTCAAATGCTCGGGATAGTGTCTCCTGCATTCAACTGAAAACAGTGATTTTTATTCTCAGCACCAAATCCTATGATAGAAACTTATAGATTCCTGTGCACTTCTCTTCTTCTTTTGCTTTTGTTTTTCTTTTGTGCTGGTATTGGGGCTTTGAACTCAGGGCCTTAGAGCACTATCCCTGAACTTTTTTGCTCAAGGCCACCACTCTACCACATGAGCTTCTCTTTTTTGCATTTTTGGTAATTAATGGGAGATAAGAGTCTCATGGACATTACTGCTGGGGCTGGCTTTGAACCATGATCCTCAGATCTCAGCCTCCTGAGTAGCTGGGATTATGGGTGTGAGCCACTGATGCCTGACTGTAGTGCTTTTCTCTTTTTCTTTTCTTTCTCCCCCGCATCCCGCCCCCAATTCCTGGCTCCCCAGATGTCCTGGGAGTGGAGATCTAGGGGAACCTCCCTGTCTCCAGGCTCACTTAGAGAATCAAGGAGCAGGCCCTTAGATGGGGAGCAGAAGCCCAGATTCTGCCTGAGGTGGGGCTTTTGTGGAGTGCTGAGATTTTTTTCCGTGGATGATTTGTTTTCCTTGGACGCCGTGGGCTTGTTTCCCCGAGGGTGTGAGCAGTGGCTGGTCTCCAGGCCCCGTGAGCTGCCTCCGGGGGGCACCAGGGTGGAGCCCCCACCCCCCTGCTTTCTCTGCCCTCCATCCCCCCCCCCAGCTGTTCTTCCCTAAGGCCGGAAGAGGAGCAGTGGGAAATGAGGCCCACACTGTGGGAGCTTTGAAGCCAAGATAAAGGAAGTGCTTTTGAAGTCATTTGGTCCAAAGTTTATTGTTGTCTACATTACAAAGGTAGTCCGGAGTTAGGAGCGTAAAAGAAAAAGCTCAAGCCATGAACTGGGCTTGTCTAGTCGCTCAGGAGCTGAGGGAAGAGGACTAAGGAAGGGCCTTAGCGTTTGATGCCAGCCTCAGAAACGGAAATGATGGCTAAATACAAGCACTCTGGAGAAGACAGAAAAGGTGGTGAGCTGCCAGTAATTAACAGCCATACACAGCTGCTCATTGTGTTTGGCGGTGACGATAACATACAGCCCTGGATGCTCTTTCCTTTTTTTTTTTTTGGCCAGTTATTGCCAGGCTTGAGCTCTGGGCCGGGCGCTGCCCCTGGGCTTCTTTTACTCCAGGCTAGCGCTCTACCGCTTGAGCCACAGTGCCACTTCTGGCTTTCTCTGTGATTATTTGGAGCTAAGAGACCCACGCACAGAATTTCCTACCTGAACTTTGATCTGCAGCAGATCTCAGCCTCCTGAGTAGCTGGGATTCTAGGCGTGAGTCACGGGTGCCCAGCCCTCTTTCCTCATGATGCCCTCTAGGGGGATACATTCATTTTCTCTGCCCGCTAATAAATTAAAAGCCAGGAAAGCGTTTGAGGCAGGCAGAGAAAGTTTATTTGAAAGTGGAAGGGAAGCCCTAAGAAAGTAGCAAGACTGCACTGGGAGGAGGCCCCCAAGTAGGAATCCATTTACAATTACATAAGTCTTGGAATGAATACATTTCCTTTTGCACAGTGTCTTCTATTCTATTTTGATATTAGGTCCTCAGTAATCAGAAGTTAGTCACATATATTTATATTTATTCTTATAAATGTACCTATTTTATTTATATATTACATGTGTTATTATATGTATAATTATAATTATATATGTGCACACACATACACACACACACACGCACACACACACACACACATATGTTGGTGCTGGTCCTGGGCCTTGAACTCAAGGTCTGAGTGTTGTCTCTGAGCTATTTTGCTCAAGGCTAGTACTCCATCACTTGGACCAAAGCTCCATTTCTGGCTTTAATTGGTGCTTAATTTGATTAAGAGTCTCATAGACTTTCCTGCCTGGGCTGCCTTTGAATCTTGACTCTCAAATCTCAGCCTCCTGAGTAGCTGGAATCATAGGCATGAGCCTCTGGCACCCAGCTCCAAGTTATATTTTTATGTTGTATGGTTGAAGACCATGCTTGTGATTTTTCTTTTCTTTTGCCTGTTTTTTTTTGTTTTTGTTTTGGTCGGTCATGGGGCCTGAACTCTGGGCCTGGGCACTGTCCCTTAGCTCTTCAGCTCAAGGCTAGAGCTCTACCAGTTGATCCACAGCACCACTTCCTGTTTTCTGGTGTTTAACTGGCAGTAAGAGTCTCACAGACTTCCCTGCTCTGGCTGGCTTTAAACCACAATCCTCAGATCTCAGCCTCCTGACTAGCGAGGATTACAGACGGGAGTCACCGGCTCCTGGCCTTTTCCTTCCTTTTCTTTTTCTGTGCCAATACTGGGGCTTGAAATCCTCGCCTTGTGCTCTTTCACTCATGGCTTTTCACTCAAGGCTGGTGCTCTACCACTTGAGTTATGTCTCCAGCCCACCTTTTCATTATGGTACTAGAGTTTGAACTGAGGGCCTTGTACTTGGTAGGCAGGCAATCTACATACTGCTGGTTATCGAATAGATAGGAGGGTCCCTTCCTGCCTAGCTGCACACTTTGATGAGACCCTTCTATTGTAGTCTTCCATTGTAGTTGAGATGATAGGTCTATAGAATCAGCACGCCCAGCCTTTTCTGTTGAGATGGAGGCTTGTGGACATTATCTCCCATCGGTGAAATCCATCCAATGTGAGCTTTCCATGTGTCTAGGATGAGAAGTGTGGGCCACTAAGCCCAGCCAGTGATTGAGAGGGAGTCGCATGGAATTTTCTGCCCAGCTGTGACCGTCCTGATCGCAGCCCCCCAACAGCTGAGATGACAGGTGTGATCTAGGACCGGTGCTCACATCCGGGGAATACTTGTCTTCCCCGCAGATGGCGTATTTGGCCTTCCTCCTGCTGTTCACGTACACAGTGCTGGTGGAGATGCAGCCCCAGCCCAGCGCCCAGGAGTGGCTTGTGATCGTTTACATCTTCACCAACGCTGTGGAGAAAGTGAGGGAGGTAAGTGTCCCTTCACACATCTGGAGCAGATTCTCCCAGCTCTGGGGACGGGGCAAGGGAGGGCAGGGACAGTGAACAAGGCTGATTTGGACTCGCAGGCTACCAGAAGATTACTTGGGGGAAATGTTCTGGGTTTAGCCTTGATCTTTCCTGCTGAGGGTTGGACTTTGGAAGCGGTTATCTTCCAAACAGACATCCCATAGTACTTATCAGTCCCAGAGTGATATGTGCTCTGTTCTATCTGTCATTAAACCCTCCAACTGTTAGATTTCTTTGGAGTCAGAGATTTTTTTTTGTCATTTTGTGGGTCAATTTTTATCACCCAGTAACATCTTTATGTTATCAGTCTCCATTCTCTTGCAATGATTCAAGGACGGCTGAAGTCACATCCTGTAAGAAATGCATTTATGGCATTTCAAAGTTCCTTGTGAGTTACCTTGGAGAATCGAAGCTGAAAATTCCATTGGAACAAGTAGTCTATGAACCACACAAAAGAAAATCTTGGTTGCTATCTATTTCGTCATTCATCACGTAGATGGTAACATTCCCATGTGGTCATGATTATAATCACAAACACTGATGACATAGACTGTGCTGGATAATCAGTGTCTGTTTATCTTTGCTTCCATGCATTTAAATGTGGTAAATGAGATTATTCAACCAATCTTATGTACTAAGTAAATGTACCCCTAGTAATTATGCCTATATTGCTTGATAGCTACTATGTAGAATTTCTAAATGATAGAAAATAATCCAGGAGAGCACCTTTATATGAATTTTGCCTTCTTATTGTGGTGTGGGTACTTCAGGGGAAGTAGTTTAACTGATTGACATTTCAGCTTATGTGGCACAGTATTTCAGGGGTAGGTTCTTGTCCTAGTGAATGATATGAAGTATTCCTAATAGTGTGCAACAACGTATTCAGTGGCAGCGTTGTGCGCTTTGCTGTCTGTTGGTGCCCTTTGCACTGTGGCGTGTGCCTTGTGAGTGGAGTTGGAGCTCACAGACCATTCTAATATTGAGGCTTAAAATATCTTGGGTCCTCCACGTTGGCTATGGATGAAGGAAAGCTAGAAAAAGCACCTTTTCTTTTTCATTGTAGCCAGGTTTGCAAGTGGTCATTCAGCATGAGCACCATTAATTTGGGTATAATTTAATAATACCACAGTTAAGTCTCAAATTCCCTTGAGATGTGAAATTTGGTGGGATTCCCTCCCTCCTTCCTCCCTTCTTTCTTTTCTTCCTTCCTTCCATCCTTCCCTCCTTCCTTCCTTCTCTCTTCTCTTCTTTCCTTCCTTCCCTTCTTCCCCACTCCTTTCCTCCCTTCCTTCATTCCTTCCTTCCCTCCTCCCTTTCTTCCCTCTGTTCTTCTTTTCCTCCTCCCTTCTTTCCTTCCTTCCCTTCTTCTCTCCTCTCTTTCTTCCTCCCTTCTCCCCTCCTTCCTTCCTTCCCTCTGCTCTTCCTTTCCTCCTCCCTCCTTCCCTTCCTTCCTTCCTTCCTTCCTTCCTTCCTTCCTTCCTTCCTTCCTTCCTTCCTTCCCTCCCTCCTTCCCTCTCCTCTTCCCTTTCTTCCTTCCTCCCTCCCTCCTCTCTTCCCCTCTTCTCTCCCTTCCTTCTTTCCTTCTTTCTTTGTGTTGGTAGTGGGGCTTAAACTCAGGACTTCTCACTGTCACTTGGTTTTTTTCACTGGAGGCTGGACTTTACCACCTGAGCCACAGCTCTGCTTCTAATTTTTGGCTGGTTCATCAGAGACAAGAGTCTCATGGACTTTTCTGCCCTGGCTGGTTTTGAACCACAATCTTCAGACCCCTGCCTCCTGCGTAGCTAGGATTCCAGGCAGGGGCCACCGTACCCAGCCTCATTACTCTTCCAGAGGATGGTTGATATGTTCAGAAAGATGATTCTGATGCGTTTCTTGGTTTCTTCCCGCCCCGTTCTGTGCGTTGCTGGGGACTGGACCTGGGGTCTGGCACGTGGTAGACATGTGCTACACCTTCGTGTAGCCCTCGGCCCGCACCCTCATTCCTGACACCCCCCTTTCTCCCTTCAGATCTGTATTTCAGAACCCGAGAAGCTGACCCAGAAGGTGAAGGTGTGGATTAGCGAGTACTGGAATCTGATGGAGGCGGTGGCTGTGGGTCTGTTTTCTGTCGGGTTTGGCCTTCGCTGGGGCCCCCCTCCATGGGGCACGGCGGGCCGGCTCATCTACTGCATCAACATCATCTTTTGGTTCTCGAGGCTCATGGACTTCTTCGCTGTCAATCAGCACGCCGGTCCCTACGTGACCATGATTGCCAAAATGGTGAGTACAGTCTGGCTTTATAAGCAGCTAGTCTCTCTTATTTTCTCTTTGCGGGTGGTGCCAGGGTTTGAATTCAGGCTTTCATGCTTGCTTAGATAATAATATGCTCGAGCTATTTTTCAAATCCTTTTTGAGTGTTTTTTGTTAATCTTTTTTAAATGCCAGTACTGGGATTTGAATTCAGGGCCTGGGCTCTGTCCCTAAGTTTCTTTTTGCTCAAGGCTGGAGCTCTACCACTTGAGCCATAGCTCCATTTCTGTTTTTTTTTTTTATTTAGGGGAGATAAGAGTCTCATAGGCTTTTCTTCCCTGGGCTGGCTTTGAATCATGATCCTCAGATCTTAGGTTCCTGAGTCGCTAGGATTATAGGTGTGATCTACCGACACCTGGCTTGCTCTGGTTATTTTTGAGATATAGTCTTGCTTTTGCCCATGTCAGCCTCTAATAGCTGCTTCTCATTTCAGCTTCCAGCACAAGTAGGATGAAAGGTGTGAGCCACCACACCTAGCTTTTGCTTGAGATGGGGGCTCAAGCATACTTTGCTTGGGCTGGCTTTGAACCTTGATTCTCCTGATCTCCGCCTTGTGAGGGGTAGGATTATAAGTGTGAACTACTAGTTTGTACTGCAACCATTATTATCTTTTTAATGTGGCCAGATAATTTCATTGTTCATATCCCATCATTTAATTTTGAAATTGTTTCTAGAAGCAAAGACAGATCATTTCATCACTGCTTTCTGTGTAATCACAGACACGTATTTTGGAAATGTTACTGGATACCATAGAGGCTAAGCCTGTTTCTCCAAGGCCTACATCTTGGAGGCAGGATCCCAAAGTGGGTCATCAGGGTCCAGTATTCCATCTACACTGGCTGGGCAGTGCGTCAGCCTTTCCAGCTGCTTTTCACAAGGCTTAGCCTGTAGAAGTACCGCACCAAGATCATCCTTGAGTTTTCTAGAATACTCATTGGAGAGAAGAGGGTGAGGCATAGTGCTAACCCTAAGGCAGAAGAACCTTTTGGGCTCTAAGCCAGATCTTTCCTACTTCACACTTCTTTTCTAAGAGCAGAAAGAATTGCTCTGCTGCTGGTGCCACCGGCAGCTACTAGATGGGTAGGGATGAAGTAACCAGCCCAGGGCTGGGACGAGGTTCAGTGGGTATGCGTCTGGGCAGACACCTGGGGTCACACAGTCCCCCAGGGGTCAGCGTAGGTGTCCTATGGCAGGGAACAAGAGGGGTGGAGCAGTCACGGGCTTCATCACTAGGGACCGGAAGTGATCCAAGTCATTGATGCGCCACAGCCCATTGGCTGAAATGGGTTTCACGGTCCCGGCCTAATGATAGCAAGATAGACAAATGAGAAGATTGGTCATTACACATTCAGTAGAAGAAGGGAAAATGGCTGCACTGATTTCTCAGAATTATCTTCCCAGAACGTCATTTTGGGAGAGAGGACTCATGGGGCCAATTGGCTTAACCTGTGGTCCGGCTGATGAAAAGTCAGATGTTAGCGAGTAAACATTGTGCTCGTTTTATTACAGCCTAGAGAAAGAGGTGCTGGGAGCCGCTGGCTCACGCCTGTAATCTTAGTTACTCAGGAGGCTGAGATCTGAGGATCATGGTTCAAAGCCAGCCTGGGCAAGGAAGTCTTTGAGACTCTTATCTCCAATAAACCACCCCCAAAACAGAAAGTGCTAGCCTTAAGCTAAGAAGCTCAAGGACTGTGCCCAGGTTTGGAGTTCAAGCCCCGGCAAAGGTGAAGAAGGAGGAGGAAGAGGAGGAGGAGGAGGAGGAGGAAGCACACATCTATGCTTTCTGCACACACGTTGCTACTCAGTCCATTGTCTTGAAGCATATGGTGAAGGGCAATGGAGCTGCTATGAACGAGGACCTGTCAGGCGTTTTAAGCCGTATTGTCCCTCAGTGTGAGTGCTGAGGGGTTCGGTTCGCTTTGGCTTTCCGGTGTGCGGGGAAGCTCAGGGCGCCGTGCTGTGTTGCAGGCAGGAAACATGTTCTACATTGTGATCATAATGGCCATCGTCTTGCTCAGCTTCGGGGTGGCCCGGAAAGCCATCCTGTCGCCAAAGGAGCCTCTGTCTTGGAGCCTTGCTAGAGACGTTGTGTTTGAGCCGTACTGGATGATATATGGAGAAGTTTACGCTTCTGAGATAATTGGTATGAATGGGATTTCACTAGGAAATACAGGGTGAACTACCGTAGATACTTGGAGTGACAAAAAATGTGGGAAGTAATAACGTGACCTTAGGAGGTGGGAAGGTGGGGAGGGAAGGGATGGTAGGGGAAAACAAAGGAGGGGGTAACAATGCTCGCCAGGAAATGGACTCATTACCTTACTCACGTAACTGTAACCCCTCTGTACAGCATCTTTACAATAAAAGATATATACACATATAAATAAAAGACACAAAAAATGGAAAAAATGCATAGTCAATGATGTGCTAGAGGCTCATGCCTATAATTCTAGCTACTCAGGAGGCTGAGATATGAGGATCACAGTTTGAAGCCAGTCAGGACGGGAAAGTCTGGGAGACTCTTCTCTCCAATAAACTACTAAAAAAACTGGAAGCCAAGTAGTAGCCTTTAGCAAAAAACAAAAACAAAAACACACAAAACAATTCAGGGATAATGCCCAGGCCCCTAAGTTCCAGCCCCAGGACTACACACACACACACACACACACACACACACACACACACATATTGAAGCAGTCGAGGGGCTGTGTGGAGGATCATAGGACTGTGATGTCTCTCAGCTCTTCTTCGTTTCATTCATTGTAGTTTGCACAGACGAGACTTCCTGCCCTCCGGGATCTTTTCTCACGCCGTTCCTGCAGGCTGTCTACCTCTTCGTGCAGTATATCATCATGGTGAACCTGCTGATTGCTTTCTTCAAGTAGGTGTGCCTCCTTCCGTATGTCTATCTTAGTAAAATTAAGAGCTAGAGGCAGGTAGGCTGTGCATGCTGAGAACATGCGTTCTATAGTTTTATTACAATGGTATTAAAAATTAATATCAATTTTTTTCTGTGTACTGGTCCTGGAGCTTGAACTCAAGACTTCATCTTTGTACCTGAGCTTATTTGCTTAGCGCTCTACCACTCGAACCAGAGCTCCACTTCCTGCTTTTTGGTAGTTAATTGGAGATAAGGATTGCAGGTGTGAGCCACAGGCTGCTGGTTATACTAGGGTTTTTTTTTTTAATAGAGAATTAAGTTGTGTGTGTGTGCATGTGTGTGCGTGTGTGTGCACGTCTGTGCATGTCTGTGTGTGTGTGTGTGTCTGTGCGTGTGTATGCCAGTGCTGGACTTTGAACTCAGGGTCTCATGCTCTCCCTTGACTTTTTCACTCAAAGTTGATGCCCTGCCTTTTGTTCCACACCCCCAGTTACAGGTATTAACTATTATAGTACATCTATATTATTATTAATGATGATGATGATGATGATTTTTGTGTGTGTATGTGTGTGCTAGTATGAAGGCTTGAACTCAGGGCTGGGGTGGTATTCATTGGCCTTTTCACTCAAGGCTGGTGCTCTGTCACTTGAGCCATACCTCCCTTCAGGTTTTTGGTGGTTAATTGGAGATAAGAGTCTCACAGACTTCCTGCCTGAGTTAGCTTCAAACAATGATCCACAGATCTCAGCCTCCTGAGAGCTAGGGTTATAGGTGTGAGCCAATGGTACCCAGTACAAATCTATTTTATATTTTGTTTTACTTTATTCTAGCCGGCTAGCACTCTACCATTTGAGCCACAGCACCACTTTCTGGCTTGTTCTGTTTATGTGATACCAAGGAATTGAACCCAGGGCTTCATGCATGCTAGACAAGCATTCTACCACTAAGCCACCTTCCCAACCTGTATTTTATTTTTATATCAGATGACTCCTGTGCCAGATATGCATTTCATGAGGTCAAGTATTGTCAAGCATTTTCTACTTTGTGCTTGTGAATCTATCCTGAAACATTGAAATAGTATCTGGCCTGAATTTGTTTAATAGGTGCTTAATAGATGAAAGAAACAAGGAAAAGAAATGGGTGGAGGCTGCTAGGTTCTAAGTGACACTGGCAGCGTCTGGGGAATTTTATTCACTCATTTCACTAAGAAAAATAAAAATCTATGTGTGGAATCTAAAGGAAGTAGAGAAGACAGGCTTTGGAGGTAGGCAGAGTAAATGAGCATATACAATGCTGTAAAGTATAAAGACATACCTTCCTTCCTTCCTTGATTTAAGACTGTATGTGAGCCTGGAGCTGCGTGGCTCATGTTTGTAATCCTATGAGCTATAAGGATTGGGGTTTGAAGCCAGCCCAGGCAGGAAAAGTCTGGAAAAGTGGAGTTGTGGCTCAAGTGGTAGAGCACTAGTCTTGAACAAAAAAAGCCCAGCGACAGCGCCCAGACCCCGAGTTCAAGCCCCAATATTGCCACCAAAGAATAAAATAAAATGAAAATGAAAAGCCGTGACATGCACTGTGAACATCGCCACCTGCTGGCAGAGAAGCTGTGGTGACTTTGAGTTGAAGTCTTTAGAGTTGATTATGTGTGAGGGTCACCTGGCAGGAGGGCTCTCAGAAACACAGCTTCGTGTCCACCCCCACCATTTCAAATCCAGAATGTTCTCAGGAGATGTTGAGGCTGCAGGTTCAGCAAGCACACTTTGAGCACCAGCGCTTTAAGCTCCTTGTCCAAGTGTTTGCCGTCTGTGAGGAGTCTCCTGTTCAAAGCCAGGGCTGGCATTTCCCAGGATGACTCTAGCCTCTTCTCATCGTTGTTGCAAAAGTTTGGGTCATTTTTATTTATTGAGTTCGGATCCCCTCCTTACTCAAGTCCTACTTTGGCATCTTTCGCTGGAGAAAATTAATTAACAATGTAAAAGGAACGTTCCATCGTGCCTTCCACCCATCGCCTGCCGTCTATGTAAGTAGTTAATCGTGGCCTGTTGTTTTGAATCACGGTCTCACCCATCATCATTTCCACCTGGAGTTCTACAATTTCAACACTTTTATACTTTTACATAATTTAAGGGAAAACCCAAGTGGCATACCAGATAAGGGAGCCATTCTTAGTGTAAAGTAAATTCAAACGGTTCATCAAAACTCCTTTTGGAAGCCTGGCTTGTTGATTTATTTTAGGTTGTTTCTTTTCCATCTTGTTATTTCATTTAGGGTTTTTTTTTCTTTTTGCTTGTCTGGGGGCCTGAATTTAGGGCCTGGGTGTTGTCCCTGAGCTTTTGTACTTATGTCTAGTATACTACCACTTGAGCCATACCTCCACATCTGGATTTTTGGGTGGTTAATTGGAGATAAGAGTCTCACTAACTTTCCTGCTCTGGCCAGCTTCAAACCACAATCCTCAGATCTCAGCTTCCTGAGTTGCTAGGATCATAGGTGTGAGCCACCAGTGCCAGGCCCATTTAGGCATTTTAACTAGAGTTACTCTAGAAGTTCTTTGTTTATTTGGGGAGAATTATTATTTTGGTATATAAATATCCCACTGCCAATGACAGGAGAGCATTCTTAAGAAGGGAGGCAGACATTCTCAGATAATACCCTAAGTTAGGACTTTCTTTCATCATTGGAAAAGACTAAAATGATTTGATCAAAATGAACAATGGGAGTAGAAAAAAAGATTTAACTGGACAGGAAATGATGCATTCTGAATATATGCTTAACTTCAAAAGAATTAATTGTCCATCGGAGTCCAGCTCCAAAATTGTGAAAGCTGAAATGCCATTTCAACAAATCTTCGATCATGGACACATTTTTCTTTTCTTTTTTTTAATAAAGAACAATCATCACATCACAAACCCCAGAACATTTGGCCAGCACCCAGGATTCACACTTGGAATCCTAACTAGTCAGGAGGCTGAGATGTGAGGATCATGGTTTGAAGCCAGCCCGGGCAGGAAAGCCCACACAACTCTTACCTTCAATTAACTAGCAAAACCTGCAAGTGTAGGTATGGCTCCAAAGGAAGAGCTCCAGCCTGGAGCCAAAAGAGCTAAGCAAGCATACAAGAGTGTGATGTCCTGAGTTCAAGTCCAATGGCTGGCAAAAAAAAAAAAAGTATCTTCAAGCTGGGTTTTGGTGAGTGAAGTCTGTAATTCCAGCTTGTCCTGAGCGATCTGTTCAGAGGATTGAGATTTAAAGCTAACACCAGCAACCCCCTCCCCCCACAAAAAAGTCCACAAGACTCCTCCTCCAAAATAACTGGCAAAAATCAGGGCTGAAATATGGCTCAAGTGGTCGCTCACCAGCCGAGCAAGCAGTCCGAGTGAGAGTGTAAGGCTCTTGCATTCAAGTTCCACTAGCTGCTTACGGCGAAGGATCAATTGCACATTGGAAAAGAGCTTCTTCGATAATAAGAGACATGGACAGCACCCACTGTAAGATACAGGCGTCTGTTCCTGAACTTAACGTTTCCACGTGCTTAGCTCTCCAATTTCTGTCTTTTGCTGCTTCTCCTGCTTGGCCTGTTTGCTAGTAATGGTCCTTCACACTGTGTTGTGTGTTAAAACACAGTGGACTGGGTTTGTGTTGGCTAAGGCTGGCGCGGTCAGGTGAGCCACTCAGCAGAGGAAATGAAAGATGGATGGGTCGTGCTTCCCCGATTGCAGGCCCAAACCCCGTGCCTTTCTCTCTATGCCCCACAGCAATGTGTACTTAGAGATGAAGTCCATTTCCAACAAGCTGTGGAAGTACAACCGCTACCGCTACATTATGACCTACCACGAGAAACCCTGGCTGCCCCCGCCCCTCATCCTCCTCAGCCACCTGAGCCTCCTCCTCCAGGGACTGTGCTGCCAACGCGGTGCACGGGACCAGGACCAGGGCTACACGGGCCTGAGTAAGTTGCACTGACGGACGGACGGGGCCAGGAGGAAGGGAGAGGGTAAGGGTTGGAGCGCAAGCACACGGGGCATTGTACTGACACATGATTTGGGGGGCAGGGCAGGGGGGAGGCTCTGGGAATTTGACAGTAGCATGTCAGCTGATGTCCTAGGTAAATACATCGACCGCACTACTGGCCATTTGCTACGAGTCTCTGATTCTCTAATGGAAGGAACTTGATCTCTGGTCATCTGGAAAATCTTGTATTTGCTAGAATAAGTCTTGGGGAGTGAGTCACCTGCCCCACACTTATTTTCCTGTTGTGATGGATGGAATTCACGTAGAAAGGCTTTGCCAGAGCCTAGAGTCTAGAGAAACTGATGAACTGATGAACCAGTGTCTCAGTCTCTGATTCTCTAACCTGCAGCGCAACTTCTTCTGGTGGTGGTTCTAAAAGATTCTTTTGTGGGTGGGCGCCAATTGCTCACACCTGTTATCCTAACAACTCAAGAGGTTGAGATCTGAAGATCAGGGCTCAAAGCTAGCCTGGGCAGGAAAGTCTGTGAAACTCTTATCTCTAACCAGCCGAAAGCCAGAAGTAGAGCTGTGGTTTGAGTGATAGAGCACCAACCTGGAGGGAAGAAACTAAGGGACAGTGCCCAGGTCCTGAGTTCAAGTCTCAGGACCAACACACACACACACACACACACACACACACACACACACACACACACACACACACACACACCAAGTCTCAAGAATATTGGCTTGGGATGAAGAAATTGGAGCATGTGGGTTCTTTGTTTCTTTAAAAATGGTAAGTCTACATATTCTGAAGTTTTCGAGTTGGTCTTGTTTAACCGTGTTGACTGTATAAGGCGAATAGCATGGTTACTGTTTTAAGAGAACCTATGTTCTCACAGATCTGTAGTTCCTACAAGGAAGGTCACAGTTGGTACCAAGTCCCATTTCTAGACAATTCTTCCATCAACACCAAGAAGCTGAAATAAGTCACCCTTCTGTATCCCAATTCTTTAATCTAAAATATTTTTGAAAGCTGAAAAGTGGTTTTGTTATCCTTATAAGTTGGGGAAAAGATTCATTGTCCAGATGAGGTCCAGTAGAAGGAATTGATGTAAAACTGTTTATTCTTTGTGCCTTAGAAAGTATGTTTTTTTGGGGGGGTTAGTGGGGGTGGTGATGGTTGAATTGAGGACCTCGGTTCTGTCCCGTAGCTCTTCTGTAAACTTTTGGCTGTCTGCAGAAAGCCATTTCAGCCACTGGCTACAGAATAACTTAAGAAAGACCCTGGGACTGACTCATTTTACCCAGATCTTTTTGTATCATATAAGAGCAACTTTGCTAGGATTGTATTTATCTGAGTTTATGACTGCGAAACACAAGTTTTTTTTTTTAATTGAAAATGAATTTATTCTGCACAATAGTTTTGACATTGCTTTCTGTCCTATGAAGGGTAGAGTTAGTTATACACGGCGCAGCAGTGCCTCCTGGTGGACAGCTACAGGAACTTTCGACTCAAGCTGTGCCTGTCACGGAAATTCATGCTTTGTTTTTTGTTTTGTTTATTCTCTCTCCCCGGCGCCCCTCCCCCCCACCCCGTTAGTTTCTGGTTACAGAACTAGTTCTTCACTTTTTTTACTTTTTATTTTTTTTATTATCTTTAGTAGTGCAAGGACTGGAGGCGTGGCTTAAGTTGTAGAATTCTCGCCTAGTAAGCACAAAGCCCCGAGTTTAAAACCCCAGTATCGACAACAGCAACAAAAAAATATAGCACAAAGGAGGTGTCATTTAACAAAGAAGCTTATGAATACAGTGCATCTTTTTTTTTAAAAGAAAAGAATATAAAACTAGGGCTGGGAATGTAGCTTAGTGGTAGACTGCTTGCCTAGCATGCGTGAAGCCCTGGGTTCGATTCCTCAGTACCACATAAACAGAAAAAGCCAGAAGTGGCGCTGTGGCTCAAGTGGTAGAGTGCTAACCTTGAGCAAAAGAAGTTCAGGGACACTGCCCAGGCCCTGAGGTCAAGCCCCGGGACTGGCAAACAAAAAAAATCAACTCAAAACAAAATGATTTATTGACCCCTGTTCACCATATTTACAATAAAAAAAGCATTCAGTTGGACAACATTCTGATTATTACAAAGTTGGTTTTCTGGCTTTTGTGAAAATATTGAAAAATATTGAGCCTATGTATACGGAATGAGTTGGGTAAGGGAAAAGCATCCAGGTCAATAATTATAAAATTTTGTTCATTCCTTTAGGCCGGCAGGTCCTACCTAAATGCTTGCAATCTCTAACCAGTTGATTTTACATTTCCATGACTGGGTCTCAGCCCATGACAAGAGCGTTAGTAGACAGATTCCAACATTCTGCACAGGAACACTCAGTTTGAATGAAAGGAAATCAAAATTTGTCTTGGTTTTCTCATCTGGGTGAGGGAAGTTGTTGGTAGTGATACATGTTTTCCTTTCAAGAAAAATTTGCAAACCTATTGCATTTTCACATCTACGGCAGAGTCAGGAGGACCTAAAGTTTGAGGCTAGCCCAGCTACCTAGTAAGTTCAAGGTTACCCTGAGCTGTCTAGTGACCCTGTCTCAAAAAACAACATCAAAAAACTAAAACAAGGGCCAGGTATGTAAGTGAGGGATACATGCAAGGGACTGAGTCTGATGCCCAACAAGCAAAATCTCCAAAACCAAAAAACTACCTATTTTATGTTTACATACACACAAACACACACAGAAATTCAGGATGGTCCTTCAACAGAGCAATTAAAGACAGGTTGTCCTTATTAAGTAACGACCTAGTATTTAAAAAAAAAAACCCACAACCTGTTAAGCCACTGTTAATTGCAGACTTGAAGAGCAGAGGAAATATATCATGGTATAAAACATTCTTTTCTGATAAAGGAAGCAACTTTCTGTAGTTATGATATTTGTTCAAAGTCAACAGTGAGTGCTACTGAGGAAAATTTTTTTAAAAAGCTCAACAACTCCCCCAATACTGCTTTAAAAACCAACATGTCAAACTTGATTTTTCATTACAGTGTAGTTATTGTTTCACACCATTAATTAAAAACCCAAGACTCAGATTTTATATATATATATATATATCAGTGCAAACAATTATTGAGCTTCATCTTCTAGACAAGAATGCCAAGTTAGTCTCTCTTCATAAAAAGCAATTACAGTCTGAGGACACTTCCATAGTCACCTCTTTTGCCAGCACCAGTCAGCTTCATGAGAATTTTTCCATTTCATGAGAAACATCAACTCTCCACTGCTGTGGATGGCACCAATTAGTCGTTCAGGATCTAGACCCCTGGCAAAGTCCCTTGGTGGTATGTCTTTTCTTCTTTGATTTGCTATCATCAGATTCACTGTCTGATAAAGATTCTCTTTATGTATTCTCCATTCCTTTACCAGCTTCTTGAGAATTAAGAAATGCTCCAGTGAATTCTGCATACTCTACATTCTCCTCAAGTTTCCAAATACGATCAGCATCCATCAATCCCTTCCACTTCAGGAAATATTCTACCTTCCATTCACTACTTGTCGGTCCAGTCCTCTTTCCACAACAAATTCTTCCGGCTCTGCGTCTCCAACTTTCTTTACTCTTTCCCTTCTGTTTCTTTCCCAAAACTTGCAGTGCAGTTAGAAGCCACTGTTAATTGCAGACTTGAGCAATTACTCAGATGCACTGGGGCTCAAGGATGGCGCGTGACCCCAACTAACCCCTCCCTTACTTTTACTAATATTTTAGTATATTCAGTGAATTCTTGACTGGATTCTTCCCTACTTCTCCTCATTCACCTACCCTTCTCTTGCAAGTACCTGTTTCCCAATGCGTATTTTGTAGGGCTTTGACCTTGTCTTTCTCAGGAGTTGTACGATTTGAATTCTCCTAGGGTGTACCATACTTCAGTTAATGCATTGCAATTATGTGCGTTTCACCTGATACCACCTAATAAATCTAGTATAGGTGAATTCTAGCTAATCTCACAAATGAGGGAAATCATGCAACCTTTGTCTTCTGGGTCTGAATTACTTCATTCAATATGAATTTTTCCAAGTTTTTCCATTTCCATAGCATTCTTTACAATGGACAAGTAACATTCCATTGTGTATATATAATGTCAGTCCTGGGGCTTGACTTCAGGGCCTGGACGCTGTCCTTGATCTTCTTTTGCTCAAGGCTAGCACTCTATCACTTGGGTCACAGCACCACTTCTGGCCTTTTCTGTGTAGGTGGTACCGAGGAATCAAACTCAGGCTTCATGAATGCTAGGCAAGTACTCTACCACTAGGCCACAGTCTCAGCCCAGATAGTCTATTTTCTTGACCCATTCATTCATCCAGAGGCATCTGGCTTGATTCCATACCTTGTCTAGAGTGAATAGTGCTGCAATGAACATGGTTGGGCTGGCGACTTTACTGTAACCTGGTTTGTGGTTTTTTTGATAAATGCCCAGGAGTGGAATTGCTAGATTATAGGAATTTCCACTTTGGATAGTTTCCACTATAGGAATTTCCACTTTGGATAGGTTCCATCACAACTGTAGATCATTAGCAGTATTGCCTGCTGTCGCATGGAGGAAATTTTGTAGCACTTTGATTGTGTTGGTGAGCTTGTTTAAGATGCTGTGTGTGGCCGATTTTCACCTTAACAGCGCATCTGTCCAGCACACTGCTTGCTGAGTTCAAATACCAATCTCTGCACATCTTTTTCACCATGCATAATGCAGCTATCATGTGAAATATGTGTTAATCAATTGTTTATGTTATCGAGAAGGCTCCCAGTGTTTAGTAAGCCATTGGAGGTTATGTTTGGTGTGTCAGTGTCTCTCCTCCTCTACGTAGCTCAAGATTCAAGGGTCAGCTGTATGTAGCTGTTGGCTCCAGTGAAGGACGTTCAGTTTTATCATGGCATGGTGTATGGCATTGTGCAGTGGCAAAATAAGAGGCGGAGAGAGGAGATAAGAGAGAATAGGAGAGAGAGATGAGGAGGAAGAGTATGAGGAGGAGAGAAAGAAGAAGAGAAACAGTTGGTTACATGGAGAGACAGGAAGCTAGAGGTTGAAGGCTGATGCACAATCCCGCGAGAACTACCTGAATCCCCTGGGTATCCTCATCTCTCACCTGCTCCCTGCTCGGGGCCCAACACGCTGCATCATCACACTGGCGATCAAGCTCCCAGCCCAGGAAGCCTGGGTTGTCTCCCGCTAACTACAGTGTATTCTCTGGCAGCTTCCTGTCAAGGGCCAACAGTGATTCTTTTTATGTACAATCTGTATTTCCACAGAACTATATCTGAGTAAGGAGGATCTCAAAAAGCTTCATGACTTTGAAGAGCAATGCGTGGAAAAATACTTCCACGAGAAGGCAGAGGGTCTGAATTGTAGTTTTGAGGAACGGATCCGAGTGACCTCAGAAAGGTAAAAACGACTACCTTCTTGTATTCCCAAACCTCTCTCCAAAACCAGTTCTCCCAGACAGCCTAGGAGAAGAGCGAGAACCACTTTCAAATCGCTAGAGTCCTGAGTCCTCTACAATTGGAAGCACACATGAATATATAAGTCATCGTGTGTTCATTGAGCATCTACTCTGTTCGAAGTGTTCTTCACTGTGGGCACACAGCCTTCTGCTAAGGTGGGAAGACTTTATGGAAATGGTAGATGAGGCCCAAGATGGACCAAGCAGTGGAACTGGTAGCACCATAGTGTGGTGGGGTTGCGCTGCTCCTCACGCTTTTGATGCGTTGGCCTCGGGTTGGTGTTTGGAGATTGCCCAGTGCAAAAGCAGGACCTTATCTGAAAAATAAACTAAAGCAAAAAGGACTGGGGGTATGGCTCAAATGGTAAAGCACCTGCCTGGCAAATGTGAGGCTTTGAGACCACACTCAAATACCATCAAAGATTTTTGAAAAGAGCTGGTGGCTACTTCAAAAGCTACTTCCCTTGTGCGTGATGGACAGTGATCTGATTCAGGAATGACTGAGTCTGTGCCATTGTTGGTCATATCACTGGGGTAGAAGTATTCTGGCTTCATGGTTTGGTGTGGGCCTTATGATCTGTAGATACGTGAGCCACGGAGAAAGCTTCAGAGTGGAAAAGGAAAAAAACTCAACCCATTCCAGTTCCACTGGGCAGTAGATCAAGTTAGTCTTGGACGAAATTGTTCTCAAATGATTGACACGTCTTCATGGAAGAACTGAGTAGTCTGACTGAGAACTAAGACAGCAAAGGAGACAGACAGACAGACAGACAGACACAAAACAGGGATGCCAAGCCATTTCATTCATGATATTCATGAATAATGTGACTACACATGTTAGACATAGGCTGGAGTAAAGAGTGTTTTTGTAAAAGTAGCAGAACCTTCTAGTTTCTGTAAAGCAACCTAGACAACTATTGTCATAGTTCACCTGGCAGCAGTGTTATCAAATCTATCAGTGGTAATTTCTCACTGGCTTGGTTATATTTGTGCAGCAATCTCCAACTCCCCAAGTGTTAGCTTGGATTAGTTATAAATGGCTTCTCGTCTGTAATCATTCTGACCTGGGGCTCAATCTGGTGAATTATTGATGTTGGTTGTGGGGCTTGAACTCCAGACCTGGGTGCTGTTGCTGAACATGTTTGTTTAAGGCTAGCACGCTCCCATTTTGAGCCACAGCTCTGCTTCCCGCTTTCTGGTGGTTAATTGGAGATGTCTCATGGATTTGCCTGGGCAGGCTGGCTTCAAACCTCAATCGCCAGATCTTAGCCTGCTGGGATTACAGGTGTGAGCCACCAGCTCTTTTCAAAAACCTTTGATATTATTTGAGTGTGGTCTCAAAGCCTCACATTTGCCAGGCAGGTGCTTTACCATTTGAGCCATACCCCCAGTCCTTTTTGCTTTAGTTTATTTTTCAGATAAGGTCCTGCTTTTGCACTGGGCCATTCTGGGACTTTGATCTTCCTACTTGTACCTCTGGAATAGCAAGTGTGACCCAACCTGCTGGCTTGTTTATTGAGATAGAGTCTTGCAAACCATTTGCTTGGCTGGCCTTAAATCATGATTCTCCTGATTGCTGCCTCACGTGTATCTGGAATTATAAGTTTCAGTCTCCGTGCTTGATCCTGTTTTATCCTTTAATTCCTACCTACAAAGCTCCCAGAAAGAAGGAATGGAAAATCTTTCAATTTCTCTTCTTTCTTCCTTCCTTCCTTCCTTCCTTCCTTCCTTCCTTCCTTCCTTCCTTCCTTCCTTTCTTTCTTTCTTTCTTTCTCTCTTTCTTTCTTTCTTTCCTCTCTCTCTCTCTCTCTCTCTCTCCCTCCCTTCCTTCCTTCCTTTTTTTTGTTTGTCATGTGGGGCCTGAACTCTGGGCCTGGGCGCTGTCCCTCAGCTCTTCAGCTCAAGGCTAGCGCTCTACCACTTGAGCCACAGTGCTACTTCTGGTGGTTCCACAGTTTTCTGGTGGTTCATTGGAGATTAGAGTCTCACAGACTTTTCTGCCAGGGCTGTCTTTGAACCACAGTCTCCAGATCTCAGCCTCCTGAGTAGCTAGGATTACAGGCACGAGCCACCAGCATCCGGCAAACCTTTCAATTTCTATACCTTGAGATGTGCTTGAGAGGCAGGAAATCTGATTCTGTTTTGGGAAGTTAAGGGATAGTGCCCAGACTCTGAGTTCAAGCTCCAGTACTGGTACCAACACAAACAAAAAAACCAAGAAAAGAAATAGCCAAAGCATCAGAAATGTATGATTTTTTAAATGACTGCATAATTTTAATAATATGAGAAATGTTTGTGTGCTCTAGCACAGTGAAGTCAGCCATCTTGTGTTTCTGTATTACATCCCTATGGAGTTGTTTTAACCTTTTACATTTTTTTCTAATTTAAAATAAATGTTACAATGTAGATGAAGTTATTATTATGGTAACTTTCATCTCTGCTATTGAATGAGCATGATTTCTCAGGTTTCCTTCCCTTTTGCATTTCATATTTGGTAAATTAAGTGTCTATGCTTTTGTGGTTTTTTTTTTCAAAGGTTTTGAAAAACTTTTTCAGTTACTAAAGGTTACGTGACTCCTTAATTGGATTTGCCAGGGCAGTGATTTTCTGATTTGTTCTTATTTGGAAATTTTGTATTCTGTTTTCACACACAAGTTGCTTTTAAGCCTTCAAATCTGACTTGGTTTGTAGCTTATCTGTGGATAAGGTTGAATGGGATGTTCATTTTCTAGGGCATTGAAGGAAAGCACCCCAAACAGGGTGCTTTTGTAGTAGCAAGAAAGTACGACCTCCTGTTTCTGATAGCTGGAAACCTGTGTCAAGGTGTTGGTAGGCCACACTCTCATGATGATTGTAGAAAAGATCCCAGCACCCCACTTTTAGCTTCCCAGGCATCTGCCGGCAACCCTCGGGGTTCCCTGGTTCTTGGTATCCAGGCTGATCACGGGTTGTTTCCTCTTTGTGTTTTCCATCTCCTCTCCTCCATGCATCTGTGTCTTCTTTCTATGTGTCTGTGCCAAGATTTCCCTGTCCGATGGGATTCGATTGTAAACCAGTGAACCCCATTCAGCAGAATGTTAACTCGATCACCTCTGTACATTTTCTTTCTGATAAGGTCCCATGCTGGATACGGAGGCTAGAACGTTAACAAACCTTTTCTTTTTTTGAGGAACATGAAACAAAATGAATTCCTATCAGAGACATTTGCCGAGATGAGTACAGATGAGTATTAGCCACCATGTTCTCTCCTAACAATGGAACAAATACATTTAATTCAATTTATTTGTAGTGTACTTTTATGCATCTACAGATGAAAATGTGTTGCCTTGTTTTCACACCAATTAATGACAGGATATTATCATTTTTCAATAAAAATTTTGAGTTAGTACCTCAATATGTAGGCCAAGCTGGTTTTGAACTCACGATCCCAGGTGCTGGGATTATAAGCATGTGCTACCATGCCCTGAAAATCATAATACATCATAATCTAAGGTAAACTATTCAAACTATGTTTAATTGTAGCCTTAGACTTTTCCCAACTAAGGATCTTTTAAAGTAGATTTTGTTTGGGACTTGTGACGCTTATTTGGAATTAGAGTGTTGGGATTTTTTTTTCTTCTTTTTCTTTTGGAATCTTCTTTAGGTTGTCCTTTTTCTATTAAAATCTTTTTCGGTAGGGGATATTCAAGTGTTGGTCATGATGAAGACATTAGTGAACTAGAATGAAATGAATGATCTGATCATTAAAAGGAACACTAGCAGATTAGGAAACATGGCTCTGAAATACTAGACAGGAATGAAGGCTAGGAAAGAAGATTCAGTGTTTTTTCCTTGTTGGGGTTATAGTGGAAGTATGGGAGGGTGAGCTCACCTGTGGTGAGTATTAGATCCTTGGTCTCTATGGTCTTGAAGAATGAAGTCTGGGGACACAGAAGAGGAAGTAAAACGGGGACTTCCTGAAGGCAAAGCTAAGTGGAGCTCCTGTTAGATGGAAGGGGCCCCACAGAAGGGCTCCACTCAGGTTGTGTGGTGTCTGGATTAATAAGGTATCTCTAAGGAGAGCTGTGTGACTGTCATTGGGCAGCCTGCAGGCCATATCAGCCCCCAGGCCCAATCAGAGGCTGCGTAACCTTCTGATTGGTTGTCTCCGGGGTCCAATCAGTCCACAGTACATGTGCAGGTCTTGCAGGGGTAATAAACCATGCTGGATGCCCAGGGGCCTGCAGGTTTGACTGCTGCTGGCCGTGTGAGGAGACGTGGAGGGCCTGGATGCAGGACTGCTCAAGGCCACCGGGAAGGATGCAGAGCCTCTGGGGGGGGGGCGGAGAGGGCTGATTCTCTGATCACCTGATCCCAGGGGTCTGTTCTCAGGCTTCACTTTGGCAGGCTTAGGCAATGGGAGGTGAGGCTCAGCCATGGTTCTGGGAACAGGAGCCAGCACACTTCCCAGTGGCTTACCGTGCTGGTTTGATTTTGCTCCCTCCCTTCCCCCTTAGGGTTACAGAGATGTACTTCCAACTGAAAGAAATGAACGAGAAAGTGACTTTTATCAAGGACTCGCTGCTGGGTTTGGACAGCCAGGTAGGACACCTGCAGGACCTGTCAGCCCTGACCGTGGATACGCTGCAGGTCCTGTCTGCGGTGGACAGCTTGCAGGGAGACGAGGCTATGTCGGGGAAGAGCAGGCACTCGGCCGGCAGAACTCTTCCTCACAGCTGGAACACCCTGGTGTGTCCCCCGTTCCTCAGTAGCCCCGAGATCGCTGCAGGGAAGAAATTCCAGTATTATAGCATGCCCCCCTCTTTGCTATGGAGCCGAAGCCAGCTTGCCCCCAGATCCCAGAGGGGGTCCCTTCTTGAGATGACCCCCAGTCCAAAAGAGGCCTCAGATGGGAGAGAAGATCAAGCAGAACAAGAAACAGAGCAAAGCACAATGGCATCTGGGGTGTCCTCAAACAGGCAAACACCCCCCAAGTATGGCAAGTTTCTCCTGGTCCCTTCTCATCCGAAGCAAGGTCTTGAGTGTACAGCCACTCTCTTGCCTCTGTGCGGCCCTTCTGTAGAAGCAGATATGCCAGGAAATGACCAGGCGGCCCAGTGTAAGATCCCTGTCCATCTGCCTCAGCCGACCCCAGGGGTCTCCCATCAAGCATCGGTGGCTGACCCTGAAGAGCAGCCCGAGCTGCCCATGTCTCAGGCGGTGCGTGAACAAGAGATGGAGTGTCTTCCACCCATGCTGGGGGGCACCCCTGCCCCCAGGGCAATGGGGTCACTCCCTCCCCAAGCTCAGAACAGGCACAGCCGGGCGGGCTACGTGAACTGGGCGTTTTCAGAAGGTGATGAGCCCGGTGTGTCCAGCCTCACCCCCCAAAGGCAAGCCTCCGTGCCTTCCACCTGTTCCAGTGACTCCACACAGAGCCAATCACAAAGCCCAGAGCAGGGAGGAGGTGGAGGCCTCTCAGATAACTCCACAAGATTGGCCAGGAGCAGTGACTGCTCGGGAGACTCCGGCCCCTGGCTCCAGCCAGACACGTCCTTCTGCATCCGTCCCTTCCGCACACACAGATCCCTCTTTCGGAGCCACAGCTTCAGATTCCACAAGAAGGAGACGCTGGTGAACATGTGTAAGATCAAAAGTAAGGAATCAAGGTTTGTGTGCTGTCGGTGCTGGTCCTGGGGGCTTGAAATCAAGGCCCGGGTTCAGTCTTAGCTTCTGCAAACAAGGTTGGCCCTCTACCACTTGAGTCACAGCTCCACTTCTGGCTTTTGGCTGGTTGATGGGAGATAAGAGTCCCAGGGACTTTCCTGCCGTGGTCTGGCTTGCCAACTGCAGGCCTCAGTTCTCAGCCTCCCGAGGAGCTAGGATGATGGGTGTGAGACACTAGTAATACACACTTTTTACACGTTTATTAAAAACCAGGCTTTTGCATTGCTGTAGGTGGTTTCCTGGGAAATGTGGCTCGAGGCCTTGAGCTTGCTCAGTAAATGCTCTATCGCTGGAACCCTCCTTTTGCTTTTAGCTTGCTTTTCAGATAGGGGGTCACATTATAGCTGGGGACAGTCTTGACACACTGTCATCTTGTCTCTGCCTCCAGACTGGGATTATAAGTCTGCACTATCGGACTCTGCCCTCAGTTTTCAGAATGGTTGCGACTCTTCAGTGCATTGTAACTCTTCCCATTCTCTCAGACCTTTCCATTAAACACCCCCGTAGATGAGCTCAAGTATACAGCACTCGCCTAGCAAGTGGAAAACCCCAAGCTCAAGTCTCCAAACTCACAAATACCCCATGTTGCCTTTCCAGATACTTACTACTTTCACCTCTCTCCTGGAAACCAATTTCCTTATAGGACATTCGAGATCCTCAGAGACATCATGGATCAAAGCGAAGATAATAACCAAGGAGAGGAGATTGTCAAGGAGAAGGACAAAAACTCAACCACTACAAGTGCCGGTAAGTGGACTGTGCTCTGTGTTTTGGTTTTGGGCAGTTGAGGAAGTGGCCTGCCTTTCCTGAGTCTGTCTGTCTGTCTCTGTCTCTAATATTTTATATATATATATATATATATATATATATATATATATATAGTTGTTGTTTGTGGTTGCGTTTGTTTGTATACCTGTGTGTCATCAAAGTTGCACGGGCTTCAATTTATTTATATGTTCACATAGAAAAACATTTGGGCTGAGCACTGGTGATTCATGCTTATAATCCTAGTTACTTGGGAGGCTGATGATCAAAGTTTGAAGCTAGCCCTGGCAGGAAAGTCTGTGAGACTCTTAATGTTCAATTAACCATCAAAAAGCCAGAACTGAGCTGTGGCCCAAGAGCTAGAGCAACAGCCTTGAAAAAAAATTGAGTTACAGCTCAAGGCCCTGAGTGTAAGCCCTAGAACTGGCAAACAAAGTAATGAATGAATGAATGAATGAATGAATAAATAAATTCCAAACCCAAACTCATCCCCCCCCCCCCCCCCCAACATTTTGGTTGTTTTATCCTCCACAGATTTGTGAAATCTGTAAGATTTTCTTTTGTCCTTTTTTTTTTTTCTGTTTTGCTCTTCTTTTTTTGTTTGTAGAGTTGAAACTTGGGTCAGTGATTTTGACTTTCTTCTTTACTAATATGGCTATTGAGTTTGATAGAATTGCCCCTAAGGAATGATTTATTTCTATCCTTCAAATTCTGATATGTTGTTTTCATTTTTATTCAGTGACTTTTACATATAAATATATATGTGAAAATATGTCTTATATGTATATATATTTTATATACATATGATATATATTTTATGTATTCACATGTATATATATGAAAAATACAACTATAAATGACATATATATATTGTTTAGGAATTTTAATCTGAATTGGTGGATTTGAAAGAATTTGCTTTCATGGTTTTAATCACTTGCTTCATTTTTCTATTTTACCCTTGTTTTTCCGAAGAATAATCTGGCTGATTAAAAAATGCCCCAGTTTTCTTTAGGCTGAAAAGCAAAAGCAAAGAACAAGTATTGAGTCAATGATGTGGAATCAGCGTAAGGAGGAGAGTTCCATTGATAAGGACGTCGTCTTTTCTCTCAGGGAAAATGCCAAGAGCTGCTGGAATCTCACACAAATGCACGTGAAGCTGGGTGCCAGTGACTCACGCCTGTAATCCAAGCTATTCGGGAGACTGAGATCTGAGGATTGTAGTTCAAAGGCAGCTAGGGCAGGAAAGTTGGTGGGACTCTTATCTCTGATCACCGAAAAGCCACAAGTGGAGTGGTGGCTCAAATGGTAGAGCACTAGCTTTCAGTTAAAAAGCTAAGAGACAACAGCACCCAGGTCCCGAGTTCAAGCTCAAGGATCAGCACATGTGCAAGAAGTGTAGGTAAAGAGGTTAATTTTTGGAATACTGCATATGGCCCGAGTTCTATGAGGAATCAATGGACTGTGCTCAAGTACTGAAGCTTGCATTTGTCTATGGCTAAACTTGCATTTGGCTACACTACGAAGTTTAGCCATTTACCTAATTTGTTTTCTGTCCTTGGGAAACATCAGACACTTTATTGGCAATTGATTATTTCATGTGGGAGAGAGGGAAGCACAGAGATACTGAATGATTTGCCCAAGTTCCAGTAGCTTCTCACTGGCAAGGCTAGAATGCCGTGACAAATGCCTTAGATCTATACCATTTTTTCTTGCTCTCTGCCCATGGTTCTCAAAGTAATAGTCTCCAATCCTTGAAGAGTCCACGGCTTCCCCGAGGAACTCATTAGAGATTCAAACCCTCTTGATTAGACTTATCAAATAGTGGTCCTGGCGGAGATTTGTGGTTTCAACCCAGGTCATACTTCCCTGTGCTCTGGAATATTTGTTTTCTTTTTTCCTTGTGCCAATACTGGGGCTTGAACCCAGGGTCTGTCCCAGCTTCTTGGTAGTTCTTGGAGATCAAAGTCTAACAGTCTTTCCTGCCTGGGCTGGCTTTGAACCATGGTCGTCAGATCTCAGCTTTGTGAGTAGCTCGGGCATTGAGCCACTGGGGCCTTGCTCCAATGTGAATTGCTCTATTCCCCAGTTCTTTCTCAGACGTTGAAGGGATGGATGTTTCTTCTTGCTAGGCTGGGTGAAGGGATTCAAATTCCCAGCCTATGTTTGTTCAACAGCTTTCCACCAGAGTGCTTCAATGAATGGGACTCAGAGTGGTCCCAACTTAATGTCGCCATTCTCCAATGTATGGCTTTCTTCTCCAGGTCATCACAGTCAACAGCTGCTGTCAAAGTGACCAATTAAATTCTGAACTGGGAGAAAGTAACATCTCAGAAGAGGAGTGTGGCAGGAACTGGCTTACAGTCTCCAAATTTAGCCAGATGAGTATGTGCCCTTGGAGGCAGTCTTCTATCCTGAAACCCTGGCAGGGTCTACTCTTTACACCACTGGTTTTCTGCTACTTTGTTTATGGTGCTGGGGTCCAAACACAAGGCTTCAGTATGCTAGGCATGTGTTCTACCATTGAGCTACATCTCAACTCTGCTCTTTCAGGCTAAGATGAAGGGTGGAGAATATGGTAATGCCCCCTAGGGGAAGTAGGAGGTGTAACATCTATGTGTGTGTCGGTCCATCCTGGGGCTTGACTTCAGGGCCTGGACACTGGTCCTGAGCTTTTCTGCTCTACCACTTGAGCCAGAGCTCCACTTTCAGCTTTTGGGTAATTAATTGAAGATAAGAATCTCATAGATTTTCCTTCCCTGGGCTGGCTTTGAACGGGGATCCTTACATCTCAGCCTTCTGACTAGCTAGGCTTACAGGCCTGAGCTACCATCATCTTGTGTATATTTGTTAGTTTTATAGAGGGGCAAAGTTCATTTGTTTAAAATAATAGCCATTAGGATTTAAGAAATAAGAAAAGAAAAACACCTAAGATTTATATGGTCTCATTCCAACAGACTTTCTCTAGGTAGTGTCCATGTAGTCTTATTTATGGGAAGGGGAATTTGTCTAATTTTATGACCTTTGAAGGTTCATGTGACACTGATAAGAAACCATAGAGGTTGGAGATTTGACTTGTCATTGCTTATTTAAAACTTTCCACATGGAGTTGTTCTATGAAGAAATGTTCCTTGAGAATCCAAATCTGGTCAACCAGCTAGGAACTAAAGCAATGAACCTGTCATAGAATGTGAGCTAATACAAGAAGAGGGCAGGTTATGGACAAAATGACAGCAATGATCAGAATTTTATAATATTTACTTTTTAGATAAAGGGGTTTTACTGTTATTTGAATTACTATTTTTTATTTTTTTAAATTTTTTTTGGGGGTCCGGTCGTGGGGCTTGACCTCTGGGCCTGGGCACTGTCCCTCAGCTCTTCAGCTCAAGGCTAGTGCTCTACCACTTGAGCCACAGCACCACTTCTGTTTTTTTCTTTTTGCTTATGTGGTGCTGAGGAATCGAACCCAGGGCCTCATGCATGCAAGGCAAGCGCTCTACCACTGAGCCACTTTCCCAGCCCCTGAATTACTATTTTTTTTAAAAGAAGGACTATATGATCAAGGAGTCACAAAGATTGAAAATTAGTAAGTAGTTAGGTAATTCTTAAGTAACAGGTTTAAACAGTAATGATAGCTGGGAGCCAGTAGCTCATGCCTATAATCCTAGCTACTCAGGAAGCTGAGAAATGAGGATCACGGTTCGAAATCAGCCCGGCAAGGAAGTCTGTGAGACTCTTATTTCCAATTAATCACCAAAAAGTTGGAGCTGGAACTGTGCTTCAAGCGATAGAGCTCCAGCCTTAAGTCCAAGAGCTTAGGATAGCATCCAGGCCCTGAGTTCAAGCCCAGTAATGACAATAATGATCCTCTTTATCCTTTTAAAGAAATGAGTGAAAATTGAATCTTTCTAATAGCATTCTTTTCTGTCTGTCTTTTATTGTTTTGTCTATTAAGATGTTTGGTGTAGTTACTAAGGAAGGATTTCAAACAATTTATAACTTAAAATTGAACATGTTAAATAAAGTATGGGCTATAGCATGCAGGAGAAGGTGAATATAAAAATTCTAGTAAAGACATCACTTTATAAAAGGAAATATTAAAGATCACTTAATTTTTGACTTTGATGGAGAAGTATAAGTTATTACAAATCTAAAAGTAACTAGAAGAATAGAATTAAAGCATATAGCTTTGAATCACCTGAGAAAGACGAGCAAAGGAAACACAGGAAAGTGTTCTAGAAAAGCAAGAAACAGCTGACTTCATTGAAGTGTTTACTTTTTCTGATTTTTCTCTTTGGAAAATATGGTTTGGGTGTAACCCATGTTCATGTATTTTCTGATTTTTTTCTTCCTTTTGTTTGTAAAATTAAGGTTTAGAACCTTATATATATCAGAAAATGAAGACCAACGAAATCGAGCAGCATGCAGAACAAATTAGCGATTATCTAAGGCAGTCTCAAGAGGTAAAAATATTTTGGCAGTTTTCACATAAAGCATTTTTGTACATGACACTGAACTTACGTTTCTTTGGCCTTCATGTCCCTTAATATCCTCATGAGATTCACTAGTAACAAGAAAGAGAATTCCTTGGGAAAAACCCTAGAGTAATGCCCGGAATTTACTCGCTCTTTAAAAATGTTAAATAAATAGGAAATAGAATGAAGTAGATGCCTGGCAATGCGACTTGCCTATTCATAATCACTAGTGAAGATCTTCTCTCCATGATGGGATAGAAGGATCTTAATTCCATCTTTTAGGCCCTTCACCGACTTTGTATATTAGGTCTTCAGAAAAATCTTTCCTATGTTACATATTCTTTTCCATGTGCCCATCAAAGTGATTTCATTCTGCCAAAGTCCGTCATGTATTGGGTTATTCGGATAGCATGCTAACTTTATGCGTCTTTGTGGCTTAGATTTAGTTTGTTGGGAGACAGTAGGAGCTGGAGGAAGGGGAGGGTGGGTGTTTCACATTCGTATAGCTGGCACTGGGGAGGCTGCTTTGGGAGCACGTGTAATGCCTTTTTTCTTTTCTTTTTGGCTCAGAATCTGTCTGAAAACTCCTCATTGAACTCCTGGAGCAGCAACCTCAGGAGGACCCTTCTGTGAGTATTTTTGTATGAGTCTGGCTCCCTCAGGAGGCTAAGGCCTGAGGAACCTGGTTTGAAGCCAGCCCCAGGAGGAAAGGCTGAAAGACGATATCTTCAAGTCATCTGCCAAAAGCCACAAAGTGTAGCTGTGGCTCAAGTGGTAGAGGGCCAGACTTGGACGAAAAAGCTAAGGAACAGTGTCTAGACTCTGAGTGCCGAAACAAAAATAAAATGAACTTTGGGTTTAATTATTTTTGTTCTGATTAGGAAGAAAGGTCCACTTTACACACACACACTCACACACACACACACACACACTACTCACAAGAATGAAAAAAAGTGTTCTCTAAGTTTTTCAGTTTCTGGCAACAAGATCTTAACTGAGTCCCTTTAAAAAATACTATAATGAAACTCATAAATGAAGAGCAAATTAAATATTTCCCTTTCTATTGTCAAACACACACACATATACACACACAGAGAATAACAATTTCCATTGCAAGCAGGTAAGATTGAAAACTTGCATTAAAGGGTAAAACTAAGATTGTTTGAATGAGACCCTTTTGTCTAAATATTTGATATTAAATAAAGAGATGCTTGGGTATCAGTACCTCATGCTAGTACTACTAGCTACTCTGGAAACTGAGGCTGAGGATTATGATTAGGATTAGGATTATGAGGATTATGATTTGAAGCCAGCCTGGACAGGAAAGTCCTAGAGCCTCTTTATCTTTAATAAACTACCAAAAGAGCCAGAAGTGAGCTGTTGCTCTAGTGGTAGATGCTAGCCTTGAGCAATAAAAAAAGCTTGGGGACAGTGCCCAGGACCTTCAGTTCAAGCCAGGGGGCTGGCGAAAAACAAAGTTAAAAAAGAATAAAGTCTATGTTGCTTTAAAAAATTCTGAAAAGGCCCGAGGATCTGATTATTATTATGCCCCCTCCTCCTCCTTCCCCCCTTCCCTTCCCCTCTCTTCCCTTCCCTTCCTTTCTTCCTTCCTTCCTTCCCTCCCTCCTTCCCTCCCTCCCTCCCTCCCTCCTTCCTTCCTTCCTTCCTTCCTTCCCTCCTCCCCCCTTCTTTCTTTGTCCATTCTTTTTGGCATTTCCACTATCTCAGTTGTCAATTTGGTAACTCTGAAAAGAACTAGGACAGAGAGAGAAGGTGGTTTGGAGGTACAATGAATTTATGGAAAGCTCACCTGGCCGTAGAGTTGAGTATTGACCTGGGATTTTATCTATTCAGAGAAATAAAAGTTGAAAACAAAACTAAGATGATTCTATTGTACTTTTACTTCTATGTGTTCAAGAGGAAAGGGTTTGCTATGTTGCCTAGACTAGTCTTGAACCTCCTAGGTCTAACTAGTCTGCCTATCTCGGCTTCCCCTCGAGCTGGGACTACAGGTGTACACCACTGCTCCCTCACTCCCCATGGAAGATTCCATTTTGTTTATAGTGTTTTCTGGAGTTTTCTAGCACACCATCAAATTGTCCACATAGCCACAAGGGGCATAATTCCACGCCATTGACTCTACAGATGAACTAGTCGGTGCGTAGCAGGTAGAAGGTGTTTCTCAATTTGTGGTCATCAGCTTTGTTGGAGACAGCCTTTCTCAGAAGCTGCCCTCCCAGCTGCCCGGCAAGCCTGACTCTAGCCTGAGAGGCCTCATGGCTTTCTTCTCCCAAAGGTTCAGTAGTTTACGTTCATGCAGAGTGGTCGGCTATTGCAGCATGAAATTAAACAATAATTGTAATTGTACTTTCTTCCCTAAGGACCTTAAACACTGGAGATAGTCATTGAATGCATTTATTCCGACTTGCCCATGGCTGCGTGAACAGGGCAAGTTACAATTTAAAGAGAGCTAATCCTGGCTTTTGCACATTTAGGGGCCACGTGGGCTAATGAAACTGATTTGTTGGCTTGTCCGGAGACATTCATGCACTCATTTGTAGGCATCTCCTTTGCATAGTTCAGTAAGCCCTTAGTCTAATTGATCCAAAACAGCACAAATACAGTTAAATCTTATACATGTTATGTGATCACATAGCTAATTAAAGAAAAAAAAAGAAAAAGAAAAACCCATCTGCTTCTCAGTTAGCTCAGGGTATATACAGCAAGTGACTTAAGTGTTTGGTTTTCGATGAACATAATTGTAAGCCTATACATTTCTCTACAGATGAGAGTATGAATATGATGTAACAGGTACTTTAGTTTATTATTTGGTTATTGTTTGGTGATATTGGGTAGCTATGGATACATACTATTGTTTCTGTCCCAAGCATTTCTTTTGTTTGCTCATTGAAAGATTTCTCTAAGTACTTTCCCTTCTTTTCTCCCCCAAGCAGGAGGCAAAGTTCAAGTGGAATTGACAGTAAGTTTTTATTTCTACACTTTTATTTTTATTTTCCTCATATTAAGGGTGGGGTACACCGGTCCGCTGAGTCTTGTGTAGTTTTTGAATTTATGGTTTTTGTACCCAGTAGAAAATTTATTAGAAAAATAGGATTGACTGTCTTTTCTCAGATAAATCAAGACTGTGCGGGTTGATACATTTTGAAATATTTGTTTTTGACTGGTTTTCCCATTTTTTTCTTTATGAATGGGGGTGAGCCTGTCCAACTTACTTCTCCTATCTGACAGTTTTTATTGTTACTTTGTGTGTGTGTGTGTGTGGTGCTGGGATTGAATTTAGGACTTCCTGTTTTCTTAGCACTTCCTCTCTATGTCTTAAGACCTTTCTTTTGCTGTTAGTTTGTTTTTCAGATAGGGTCTCATGCTTTGGTTGGAGCTAGTATTGGACCATGATCTGCTTCCCTCCACCTTCTGAGTATCTGGGTTTACAAGCATGTGCTACCATGTCTGGACACTGTCATTAAAAATACTATTATTCATTAAGAGCCAGTCATGATATTGTTTGTAGAAGGCATCTCTTGTATAGTTTCAATGGGACTATACCCCAAATGCCAACTAGAAACAAGCTCTGCAGCCAGAGGCTTTATTCATTTGATTATAGGCCATTTGAGAATAGGCCAGTGCTGAGCATAGAGTAGGTACTGGGATTGATTAATCACATCGTCCAGGTCCTTAGGTGATAAAGCATTCAGATGCCCACAGACGGTGAATATTCCACTGTTTGTCTATAAAGCTCCTACCTCTGTAGAACTAGTGTATTCCATAAACTTCACTATTCATCTTTGCTTAGAAAACAGAATTGTGACCATAGTGTTTTGTTTTTAATTTTTATTTATTTATGTTTTAGCTTAGACTGTTTCTCTACAATTTGAGCCACAGCTCCACTTCTGGCTGTGTGTGTGTGTGTGTGTGTGTGTGTGTGTAATTAGAGATAAGAGTTTCACAGACTTTCCTACCCAGGCTGGCTTCTTCAGACTGTGACCCTCAGATCTCAGCTTTCTAAATAGCTAGCTAGGAGTTCAGATGTGAGCCACCCGTGTCTGGATAGTCCTCTGTCCTTTTAATCTAGTACTTTGTGTTTACTTTTCTCTAAGGCTAGAATTTCACCTGCTTTGCCTCTCATGACCCATAGTGGGTGCTGAAAGCACACATTTGATTGCTGACAGAATTTGCTGATCTTAACTCTTTTTTTGCCATGAATCCTCAAAGAATGCTTGTCCCTTTGCTTACCCAGTAATAAAAAGGCGGGGGGGGGGAAGGTGTGTGTAATCCAGCTCGTTTCTAGGGAGAAAGCAGTTATTATTGTGAGATTAAAGTTTCTCCAATTTAATGTTGATTTTTTTTTAATAGAGTGGCAAAACTGTTGCAAAGGCATTCTCTGGAGTCTTGTAATTTAGATCTGGAGCAGATGGAAGAGAATGAGTTAAAGTTAGAGGAGTTTTTCCCCAGCACACGTGTGCAGCCTCACACAATCCTCCTTGCTAAATTACCCATTCCCCCTTTGTTTCTAGTATCTAATCTTAAAGCATTTCCATCATTTTGTTGTTATTTCAGGACCATGAGGTAATGCTGATAACATGGCATTAATAACACCTTTCTGTTGGTGCAGCATTTGGGCAGGGAACAGGGAGAATGGAGCTTCCGGAGTGTCATGAACTGTGATAGGCAGAGAGGAACTTCTGGTCCTCGGCGGTGTAATTGGTTCAGAGGAAATCTGTCTTGGAGGCTAATATTACCTGTCTGTCTTCAATTCCCTCTATAAATGTGTTTGGAGATATTACACTGATGATTAGAAGCTGTCAGGTCACCACGCGCAATCATGTGGTTAGAAGATATTAGGAAAGCCCGCCCCTCCCCCACCTTCTTTTTGAACACCAAGAAGTCGTTCTGATTAACCTGGTCAATAATAACTTTGAAAGCAATATCTTTATAGGGGTGTATTTATCTCTAGCCAACTAATTAAAATGCCAATCTTTCCTGTAATTTCAGGCATCTCAGCCTTCTTAAAAAGCCCCCAAGAGCCTCACCGCCATTATTCAGGTAGGAAGCATGTTTGCATACGGGTCAACTGAGCTAAATGTCTGAATTTGGAAACAGAAACACGGATCAATTCGATATTAATGATATCACTTCACACTTGGAGAGTCATTTACTCGGATAGGAAAGGACATCTAGATCTGGGTGGTAAAGCAAGTTGTCAGAATTTAAGAAAATTCAGATCTGAGTGTTATGATTCACACTGAGGAGGCTGAGACAGGAGGATTTCAAGCTTGAGGCTAAGTAGCCTGGACTACACAGCAAAACCTTGCTTCAAAAACAAGGCAAGAAAGCAAGCAAACAAGAGAGAAGGAAGGAAGGAGGGAAGGAAGGACGGAAGGAAGGAAGGAAGGAAGGAAGGAAGGAAGGAAGGAAGGAAGGAAGGAAGGAAGGAAGGAGAGACAGTTTGGATTAAAAGATAGTTATTTCAGCTCTGTACATCACCTTCATAATAACAATTAAAAAAATAAAAATTAAATTAAAAAAAGATAGTTATTTCAGGCCTTTGCTGGATGTCCTACTGGTAAAGATCTCCTAATCTGTTGGCCATATTTCTAGTTTAGTACCTGTGTTCTTTACTGTGCAGAAACTTTTTATTTTGATATATTCCCATTTGTCAAGTCTCTCTCCTATTTCCTTGGCACTGGTTTCAAAAAGTTCCTGCCTATGCCTATAAGTTCTAATGTTTCTCCTGCTCTATCCTGCAGTAGTTTCCAAAGTTTCAGGTCTGACATTGATTCACTTTGAGTTGATATTGGTGCATGGTGACAGAGATAAATTTTAGTGTTCTACTAGTTTTCCTACTACCAATTATTGAAGAGGTTATTTTTTTCCACATACAACACCTCAACAATAACAATAAAATTATATTTAAAAATACTCATTTCAGCCGGGCACCGGTGGCTCATGCCTATAATCCTAGCTACTCAGGAGACTGAACTCTGAGGAGCGTGTTTCAAATCCAGCCTGGGCAGGAAAGTCCATGAAACTCTTACCTCCAATTAAATATCAAATAGCCAGAAGTAGAGCTGTGTTTCAAAGTGGTAGAGCACTAGCCTTGAGCACAAAAGCCCAGGGACAGCACCTAGGCCACAAATTCAAGCCCCAGGACTGGCATAAAAAGAAATTAAACCAATGTTTATTTCACAAAGTTCCAAATGTTGAAGAAGATAACCCTGGGCTCTAAAAATTCCTTACAAGCTCGAAGCCAGCCCCAAACCAGAACCTTAATGTTTTGCACTTGAGAGAAGACAGACTTGAACTAGTTCTTAATGGAGAGCTTCGCATCTTCCCAGGATGCACAGGGAACGTGACCTCTGGGCAGATGCTAACACCACAGAACAAGTTCAACCAAGCTTGTCTGACAGAGCTGTTATTAAACAAAGATGTCAAGGGTCTCGGCTCTCAGAAGCAACATCGCTTTACAGCGCTTCCATTGTCTTTTTTCTTTTCTTCCAAGTGGGAGCAATTGTACTGCCCTTCCTGAGGACCAGTCTGCCAGAGGGCTAGTTGAGAATTCAAGAGAACACACTCTGAAATGCAAAACAACGTAACAACCAACGGGACTTGTGCCACTGGGCGGTTTCTTGGGGGTCATTGCTCTCAGCTTTGGCGGGGATAATACACAAATCCTTTACACAAGGTCTTTCAGCCCCACAGTAATCTGTTATTTTGACTCCAGCTGTCAACTTTAAAAAGTCTCTGGCGAGGAATAGTGTAACTCCTATCGACTCTGAGCTGTTCGGCGAGGGCTCTTAATGGCAAAATGCAGATAACTTGCTTCTAATTAAACTTCGTCTTCAGTTCTCTCTGGAGGGGGGGGGGGGAAAGAAGGTGAACTGAGAAAAACCAACAGCAGGTGTCCTCGTAGTCTACGGTGGATTGTACTTGCTGGTAAAAAGGAACACCAGAGTGAAGACCATGGATTATAAAACCATTTAAAAGGAAGTTCCACATATATTTGAGTTACATGCCAGCTGGGAGGGTCAGTCTTGTTGTGGACCATGTTGGGAAAATCTTATAGAAAAATGTTCCTAAGACTTTGAGACATGATTTATAGCTTTAGAATGTACATAATTTTATTTTTTTGGGGGGGTGGTCAGTCATGGAGCTTGAAGTCAGGGCCTGGTGCTGTCCCTGAGCTCTTTTTGCTCAAGGTGAGCTCTCTACCACTTTGAGCCACAGCCCCACTTCTGGTTTTCTGGTGATTAATTGGAGATAAGAGTCTCATGGCTTTTCCTGTCCAGGCTGGCTTTGAACTGGGATCCTCAGATCTCAGCCTCCTGAGTAGCTAGGATGACAGATGTAAGCCATCAGTGCCCACCAATAATATATTTTAGTAAAGGCAAAAATAAAAGTGTTTGAAATGAGGTATTATGGTATTGTATGAACATGTACAATGGAGGTTTCCTATAAATTTAATCCATTGATGAGGACTTAAAACAGCAAATCTGCTCTTGTTTGCAGCCATCGAGAGGAATAATTTAATGAGGCTCTCTCAGACCATACCGTTCACACCAATCCAGCTGTTCGGTGAGTAGTATTACTACGTTCTGGAGTCTGAGCTGAGGATGAGAGGTAACATCTGATTGTCGAGGTGAGAACACAGTGCAGGTGCATTGTTTCACTTGAACATTTCCTTTTGTCCATGGCTGTAGCTTAGGGAAATTCACTTCCAAACACCAACATTCTGTAGTCAGGATTTAGGGTCAGAGTCTGACACTGTGGGGGTAACATCTACCAGTGCGTAGCAGTGGAAGAAAGTAAGGTGGTTGCACCTGGAATTTATTGACGGAAGGCCAGAAGTGCATAGGAAAAAAAAAGATGAAGTCGTTGAACTTCTTTGTGTGTGAACCAGTACCAGGGCTTGACTTTAGGGCCTCATACTCTTGCTCAGCTTTTCCATTCAAGGCTAGCCTCTACACTTGAACCTTACCTCCACTTCTGTCTTTTTGTTTTTGCTGCTTAATCAGAGATAAAGGTCTTATGGAGTCTTCGGTCTAGGCTAGCTTTGAATCTTGATTTTCCTATCTCAGACTCTTGAGTAGCTAAGATGATAGATGTGAACCGCCGGTGCCCAGCTATATACATAGGTTTTCATTTGTCTGTTTTACTTCACACCCATTGACTGCTCTTATCCCAGAGGACAAATGCCATTTTTCAGGGCTGGAATAGGAAAGCATCAGCCGCTCCTCTTAAGCCAAGGCTAGCAGGGACTCTGTGTAGCATGAGAAATCAGGAGCAAATGGACAATGGAAGGCTCCTCCTGTTACCTTTGAACTCAGTTCTCAGCCTGCTCACAGGGAGAGACCAGGCTGGACTCTGATTGCTAATGCCTTCTCCCCTACTTGGTTGCATGGCTGCTTTTTCAAATCAGTAGCTCTGCTGTAAATCCTCTAGGGATTAGGTCTCCAAAAAGATCTTCAGTGGTGTTTCTCTGGGCACTAAGAATTAATAGTTGGAAATATGTTATGAAGCATTCTCTAAATGTGTTTATTGGTAAGGAATTAGCTACAATGAGAGGGAATGTGGTTACAACAAACAAAACAATAAACATTTGAAGCCAAGATAGAAGAAAATGAGACATAGCCATGATGAAACTCTGTTTAGATGATGTTTCTTCTGATAGGGACAGAATTAACATTGTACTTACTGCCTGGTAAGAACTGCTCCTTGTTAGATAGCTTTGGAGCAGGGTACTACCCCCCCCCCCCCAACTCCAAGTTCCCATGAAGCACAGAAGCACAGATGCACAGAGTTCACAAACAGATATACAGTATATTTTTAATATTAATATATCATAGGAAAGTGAATGAGAAAAACATACCTAATAAGTCTCCTCAGAAGGATGATAATAACTATAAATGAAATGGCCTTGTTAGAAATATTTGCCTTAACAAAAGAAGCATACTCAGACTTACATACTGTTTTTTGTTTTTGTTTTTTGTCTATTTAGAGTCCACAACAGTAAGTATACTTTAGGTTGATTTTTTTTCAGTACTGAGGGTTGAACTCAGCGCCTTGAACTTGCTCTACCTTTAAGCCATACCCTCAGCCCTCTTTGCTTTAATGTTTTTCTTTATAAATTAAGATATTTATTTATTATTTTTGCCTAGTCGGCCTAGATCATAGTCTTATGTTTTGCATGTAGCTAGGATGACAGGTGTGAATTGTCATGCCCAGCTTATTAGTTGAGCTGGTGGCTTGTTAATTATTTGCCTATGAGGGTCTGGAGCTATGAATTCTCTTCAACTCCACTTCCTGAGTAGCTGGGATTGCAGATGTGGCCCACTGAATTCTTTTTTTTTTTTTTTTTTGGGTCCGGTCGTGGGGCCTGAACTCTGGGCCTGGGCACTGTCCCTCAGCTCTTCAGCTCAAGGCTAGTGCTCTACCACTTGAGCCACAGCGCCACTTCTGGCTTTTTTTCTTTTTGCTTATGTGGTGCTGAGGAATCAAACCCAGGGCCTCAGGCATGCAAGGCAAGCGCTCTACCACTGAGCCACCTTCCCAGCCTATGGCCCACTGAATTCTTGCACATGTTTAATGTGTTGTCCCTTCCTCCCCTCCCTGCTTTTACTAGATAATAAGTAAACACAGTCCCTAACTCTGCTAAGTCCTCTTTTCTGATGGAGCTGATTGTGAATTGATGGTAAGGGCACCACCCACACTCAGGCTCCTGGGATCTCATTGGACACCTGGTCGTCACCTCTCTTTGCAGCAGGGGAAGAGGTGACGCTCTACAAGCTGGAGGAGAGTTCCCCTCTGAACCTGGGTAAGAGCATGTCCTCTTGGTCGCAGTACGGGAGAGCTGCGATGATCCAGGTGTTGTCCCAAGAGGAGCTGGGCGGCGGCCTCCGCAAAGCCATGAGAGTCATCAGCACCTGGTCTGAGGATGACGTGCTCAAGCCAGGCCAGGTGTTCATCGTGAAGTCCTTTCTCCCCGAGGTGGTGCAGACATGGCACGAGATCTTCCGGGACAGCACTGTGCTTCATCTGTGCCTCCGGGTGAGTTTCAGGTGCAGAGACCGAGAGCCCAGGCGGACAGGCTGCAGACAGCTCTGGTTATGTCCCCGTCCCAAACCATTACCTTCAACCAGAAAGGAGCCTGCTCGTTTTCGGAAGGAGTGAGTTCTGTTATTTGTACTTTGGAAGGCTTTCGATTCAGGCGGTGGTGAAAACTAAATAATGTTAAAATTTACGTACTGAGTAGTTTCTGGGAATTCTGTGATCATTATTTAGTGTGTGTATCTTACACACACACACATATATATATAACCATAAGTACACAACATACATATTTACATATGGCCTATATACTTATTAGATGTTTATATTATTCATGTATAACGTATGTCTAATATATGTAACATGCACAACACATGCAGCATACATTACATATATGCGTGTGATTAATTATATATAATTATATATACATATGTACACACAACACAAATTTATATATAATGCTTCCTATTTTGTAGGAAATTCAACAACAAAGAGCTGCTCAAAAACTAATCTATACCTTCAACCAGGTGAAACCACAAACCATTCCTTACACACCAAGGTAAGAGAATCATGGCATTGGAGGCCTTTCTTTTAAGGAGAATTTATGTTACCATCCTCTCACCCCATTAGTCCTGAGAAATGTTGGACACACTGGAAATTCCTGTGCCCTTAGTTTTGGAGTTTTCCTTCCATAGTTATATAAACTGGTGAAAAGAGAATGAGGTGTTGCAGAGATGCATTAGAGGAATTCAGGCAGATGCTCTGATGGCCGTCCCCACCATCATTGCAATTATGCAAAACAGGCAGATCCGGGGCGGCACCGCTCCTGAATCAGGAGCATCAAGGTAGAAAAGTCTCTCTACCTCAGACAGAATTTCTTCCCCACCCTCAGCCACTTAAAGGAATTGGGAAGTTCATAAGAATAAACTCTTACCATGTCCCACTTGTTTCCACACACGTTTATCCATCCTGATCATAACTGGGTGCTAAGAATGGACAGCGAAGCTTTATTGGTTCCTTTACAAGGAACTTTGTTGAGCACAGCAAGCAAAGGTGGGGCTAGCACTAGTAAAAATCGGGATGCTTTTCAACATGAAGGCAGGTGGGACACATAGAGGAAAAAACCAACACCAAACCAAAACCCCAAACCCTACCTCCCAGTTCTTGTATTCCTTGTCAGAGAGGGCAAGGTCATGTCCACGAGGCTCTGTTAGAGCAGAGTTGGGAGAACCGTTCTGATGGGTGAGTCCCACCACTGCTGCCGTGTGTGAGGCCAACCATGTCTTTTCCATCACAGGTTCTTGGAAGTTTTCTTAATCTACTGCCATACGGCCAACCAGTGGTTAACTATTGAGAAATACATGACAGGAGCATTCCAGAAGTACAACAACAACAATGGAGATGAAATTGTCCCTAGCAACACCCTGGAGGAGCTGATGTTAGCTTTCTCTCACTGGACCTATGAGTACACTCGAGGGGAGCTGCTGGTTTTAGACCTGCAAGGTGATTGATGGATGTGCAAAACTGAACTCCACAGGCATGGGACAAAGTGCCAGCTGATCTTGCAGTAACTCCAGTGGGCCATGTGATGGGGACTGTTTACTTGGTTCTGTGTGTGTGTGTGTGTGTGTGTGTGTGCGTGCGTGCGCGCACACCTGTTCTGGTACTAAGGCTTGCACTCAATGCCTAGGTGTGGCCACTTAGCTTTTTCACTCAAGACTGGCCCTCTACCTCTTAAGCTGCAGCTCTACTTCAAGCTTTTTGGTGGTTGATTAGAGCTAGGAGTCTCATAGACTTTCCTGTCTGGGCTGGCTTTGAACTGCGACCCCCAGATTTCAGCTTTCTGAGTAGCTAGGATGACAGATGTGAACCGTGGGTGGCCGGATCTCTAGCTTTGTCCAGCGCTGACCATGAGCATCTTATAGGCTGACTCCTACGTAGAGTGGGGGGGGGGGAAATATAGGCAGCTGACTCAAAATGTAAAGGTATCTAAAATACTGAATTATTCTTCAAAAGTAAAGGTATCTGAGTGGTGGAATTCCATGGAGAATGATTTTTATTTTGTATGAACATTTTCCAGCTTTATGGCTTTGACCAGCCTATCACGTAAGCGTGCATGTTTTGACACACAGGAAAGTTTAAATTCTGGTTATTTTATTTCCCCCCCAGGACTTTGAGTGTATTGCCTTAACAGTGTATAATTGAGCTTGTTCTCTTTGCTGGGTCCCTGGATGTGACAGCTCGAGAGAGTACACCGTCAGTCCGAGAGAGAGAGGATGGATGCAGTGGCTTCTAATTTAGCGGAAGCCTTTGATCTGCACATCTCTCCAGCATGGACCCCTCACGCGCGACTCCTAATCCCACAGAACACATGCAGTTCCTCCAGCAGGCTTTCCTTGTGGGGATGGCACATAATATGTATTAAGGTCAAAGTGTAGTCCTTGGGCTCACTGACTGGGGCTTTGGTTTTAAATAAGGGATTTAGCCGAGGAACTTTCCTAGAAGTTATCTCATTTAATCCCAGAAGCAGCCCCTCCAGGTAGGTATTATGGGGAATTTAGGCCCAGAAAGTTTAAATAACTTGCCCATGGTTGTACAGCTACTTAAAGGGAAGCCTGATATAAAGGGGGTGTAGATGGACGCTGAGCTGACCAGCCCTGTTCTTTTCTTTTCAATGTACAGACTTAATGCTTTAAGGGCATCATGCCTAGAGAATATCATCACCTCATGATGCATTTAAACAAGCTAGACCTTTTTTTTTTTCCCACCCCTTGTCATCTCTGATTCTCCCAGCTTTTCATTTCTGAGATTCTAAACTGAAAGCCAAGCTTGGAGGCTGAGAAATGTCCAGATAAATATACAATCTCGAGGCAAGATGACCAATAGCCAGGAAGACTGCAAAGTCACTTTGAAATTTGTGTCCCGTGCTCCAGAAATGAATATATACTTTCAAAACTACATAGACGTATTCTTTCCTTTGAGACTTCTGCTGTTCTCAAAGTTGGATTGTCTTTCTAAACCCTCAAACACAATATGGTAGGAAGTAATCTAAACAACATTAAAATGACCAAAACCATTCTGCTTTTGAAACCAGCACGTGCAGGGTGAATAGAAACTTAGGATGTGGATGTGCAGGCCTTGGACCTCTGTTTTTGTAGCTCAAGTTGAGGAGGCTGATTGTTTTCCTCTGAACTCCACAGCTTGTGTTTTGAGTTTTGGGTGGAGATGTTTAAAAAAACAAGGAGAGAGACAACAAACAAACAACAACAACCACAAAACAACCAAAGAAAAACTTTAAGGATTTAATGATGACTCTTTAGTGTGTTTTGTATTCCACTTGAATAGGTTTTTGTTTAATGATGTTTATGTTTGGGGATTTTTATGTCTCTTAGTAATCCAAAGTGACATTAAACAGAACAAATACTGTGTTGATAGTCTTGGGGGAAAAAGGGAATTAACTTTATTCTTTTCCTTAGTAATTACGTGAATTACAGAAATAGGCCACTCCAAATAAGCTATGTCAAAACATTGACCTTCAAAGAAAGGAAGAGTGGACTTCATGGAATGGGTGTGGCAGCTTTTGAGGTAGTTATCCAAGACTTTAGGCTAATTGGTTAGACCTGAATTTATGGGCCAACAGGAATCCTATAATAGTAATAATAAACAGCCCTACTGCTACTACTGGCTAACATTTACTAAGTACTTATTTTGTGTGGGGCACTTGGCTAAAGGCTTATGTGTATTACCATATTTAATCCAAACCAGGGTGGAAAGGAAAAAAAATGGGAAAACTAGAATGCTTTTTTAAAACCTCTTCATGGCTTTTGGTTCAGTTTTATATTCTATTTAATTTCCTTTTATTTCTGAGTTTTGGAGAGATGACGGCTGCATTCTGCCTGGTAGCTGGGGATGGGGGGGGGTTGGGTTTGAGGGGCTTGTAGCAGCCCTCAGGGGGAGCTTTTGAGTTGTGGTCCTGGGGTCTGACTCCTGGCTTCACCATATATGAATCCCATTTTCATCATTGGTTCTTGGGAAACGAATATACACCTAAGTTGTTAAGGAGCTGAAATAAGACATGTCCTTGGCACATGGTAAGTCCTCCATAATGGTTAATTCTTGCTGTTACTGCTGCTCTAAGTGACTCTGTGTGTGTGTGTGTGTGTGTGTGTGTGTGTGTGTGTGTGCGTGTACATGCGATGCAGGTGAGGGCCTGAGCACTATGTCTTAGCTTTTTTGTTCAAGGCTGGCACTCTACCACTTGAGCCACAGCTCTACTTCCAGTTGTTTTTAAAATTTTTTTTGATGGTTAATTGGAGGTAAGGGTCTCACGGGGCTTTCCTGTCCTGGCTGGCTTTGAACCGCCATCCTCTGATCTCTGACATTTGAGTAGCTAGGATTACATGTGTGATCCACCAACACCGACCCTCTGAGTGACTCTTTAAAACAGAGGTGACTCTGAGGGTAGGCAGCCCACCCTTAGCAGTGTGGTGACTGTGGTATCGAAGGGAGAACCCAACTTTCGTCTCTATTCCTACTGCTTGGAGGGGTAGAAGGAGTTGGACACGACTGAGCATGTTTTCTCCCAGTTCCTGGGCTTTTGAGTTTGTCCTCCTCTCTCTTCCAAGAGTGGGCCGGTCATTCACCCAGACCCTCCCACGCCAGGCCAGGAAGCTGAACTTGAAAGAGAGGTGCAGCTGATTTCCCATCACTTGTAATTACACTGATGTTTTCCGCCTTTTTCCACTTAGAAATCCTACATGTGAGTCTGAATCTCCATCACTGAACTTGGAATCTACACTCATTCCCAGCAATGGAAATGAAAAACAATTGTATTTCATATTACAGTGATGGTTAGCCTTTTGTTTTGCTTTTATTTTTTTAAGCTTATTATATACTTTTTTTCTTTTTACCCAAAGCTTTTAGAGATACAGTATTAATATTTTTCCAACAAAGCAATTTCCAGATTAACTCAGCACCCACACCATCATCATTGAACTGCAGTGCCACAAAGGAGAGAACTTTCCTGCACAGATGCAGAAATTGATGATTCAAAACTGGTTAAAATCAGAGAACAAATTTATGCATTTTCTTCTATTACCTTGACATTGGCATATGCTTTTCAGAAATCAGTGGAGAGATATCATTGGAGGTTTTAGGGTTAAGATGTATCACTTTCCCCATGATTTCCAATTATCAAGATGCTGTGTATATATGAAGGGCAGTGAAGACAGTGTGCCTACTGGACAGCTCTTCTTTTTATCTTTTTCCTTTCCTTTCCTTTCTTCCTTTTCCCTCCCTCCCTCCCCCTCCCTTCTTCCCTCCCTCCCTGTCTTCCTCCCTTTCTCTCTCTCCTTCCTTCCTTCTTTCCTTCCTTTCTCTCTCTCTTTCTCTTCCCTCCCTCCCCCTCTTTCTTTCTCCCCCTCTTTCTTTCTTTCTTTCTTTCTTTCTTTCTTTCTTTCTTTCTTTCTTTCTTTCTTTCTTTCTCTCTTTCTTTATTTCTTTCTCTCTCTCCCTTCCTTCCTTCCTTCCTTCCTTCCTTCCTTCCTTCCTTCCTTCCTTCCTTCCTTCCTTCCTTCCTTCCTTCCTTCTTTCTTTCTTTCTTTCTTTCTCTCTTTCTTTATTTCTTTCTCTCTCTCCTTCCTTCCTTCCTTCCTTCCTTCCTTCCTTCCTTCCTTCCTTCCTTCCTTCCTCAGGGCCTAGGCATTGTCCCTGAGTTTCTTTTGCTCAAGGCTCTACCACTTGAGCCACAGCTCCACTTTTGGCTATTTTAGTAGTTTGTTGGAAATCGGATCAGAGTCTCATCGACTTTACAGCCCTGGCTGGCTTCAAACTGCGATCCTCAGATCTCAGCCTCCTGAGCAGCTAGGATGGCAGGCGTGAGCCACTGGCTCCCAGCCAATAGGGCGGCTCCAGTGTAGCCAGCAGAAACAGGTAAGGAGTGGTGGGGCTGCCTGAGTGGTAAAGGGGCTGTGTCCTGAGGACTTGCCCTTTCCCTTTTCTCTCCACACGTTGGAAGGCCCCCAAAAGGGTGTTTAGTCGTTAAGCTTTGAGCTGTTAGATTGGATTTGTGGGTACTTGTGCCTCTGTGTGTGTGTGTGTGTGTGTGTGTGTGTGTGTCATTGAATCCTCTCAGTATTCCTATGAGATAAGGCTTTTTGTGTCATCCCTCCCGAGGATGAGTTTGGGTTTCATGGAGATTAAGGAAGGCATTCAGGCTCCATGCTAGGAAGTCATAGAGTTGCGAGTGGATCCCTTCTGACTTCAGTGTCTCTGAGAAGCCATTTGATTTAGGCAGGAACTGGTATGATTTGGACAGATTCTTCTTGACAGAACTTCCTTTTTTCCCAACTGGGATTACCTCTTCAGACACAGCAGCGCGTTCCTAGCTCAATTTTACACCACCAAAATGATACCAGTGTCAAATTCGCATCATGGCTGTAAACTTTCGGCTTAATGTTTGCTAAGTCTGGGCCTCATCCATGGGGACGATGGAGGGCTTCTGATCTCTCTGCTGTGGTGGTACTTGAGATGGTTTTGCTTGTCTGTTCTTATTTACTCCATGGTTGGAAAAGCAGGGCTTCCCTCCGCTGTTCCTTCTCATCTCTGTGATGAGGAAAGTGGAAGAGTCCCACCCTGCTTCCGGCTATGATTGGCTTTGAAGAGAGCCAGGGCAGAGCAACACTTGCTCATTTTGCACACTTCCCGTATGCTTATGTTTTAGCTTTGATTTCTCTTTCCCTCTTCAAAATCCATGTAAAGTGGCCTAGCCAGAGGTTCTTAAAAGGCTCCTACATAGGACATAGAGGATCCGTGAACTTCATTGAAAAAAATTAAACCTTGCTAAGCGAGTATCTAAAAATTCATCATTTCCATCAATTGTGATGTAGGCTAGTGATCCACAGTGATATAGCATTGCTGTGATGATTTGCAATGCAAAGTGTATATAATATATAGAATATGATATATATAATATATAAATATATATAATTTTATAATTTTAATTATATAATATAGACTATTATGTAACTGTAAGTATATACAATAGTCTATATTGATATAAATTATATATTATATAGTAATATATAGCTGTATATGTGTATATATATAGATAAATATTTTTAACACTGTACCTTACAACATTGACAGATAGCTCTAAATATTGTTACAAGTTGGATATTACTGTAGATTCTATTACTTAGTACATTGATAAAGAAGCATGTGTATGTATTGTAACATAGTCATTTCAATATTTAGTTTATCTTCTAATATTTTGAATTTAAATCATGCATATTGAAACATTAATTAGAGGGTTTCTTGTCTTTACCAACTGATTCAGAAGGTAATAGAAAAGAAGGCCCATTGAAAAGTCGAACACTCTAATCCTAAGCTCAGACTACATTATTTCCCTAAGGAGATCAGCTTTAATGGGAAAAGGCTACCCAAATTACTTTTACTTGAGAAATGTTGAACGTAGCAGAGAAGATACCAAACACAGCAAAACACTTAACAAAAAATTCTCTTCTGAAACGGTGACTTTTGGCTGGGTGCTGGTGGCTAGTGTGCTGGTGGTAGCCACTCAGGAGGTTGAGATAGTGAAGAATTGTGGTTGGAAGCCAGCTCAGGGCAGAAAAGTCTGGGAGATGTTAATCTCCAATTAACCACCAAAAAGCTGGAAGTGGAGCTGCGGCTCAAGTGTTTGAGGGCCAGCCTTGAGTAAAAAAGCCAAGGTAGAGTGCACAAAGCCCCGAGTTCAAGCCCTAAGTACCAGCACAAAACGAAACAACCCTCCCAAAAAACCTCTCCCCCCCCAACAAATGGAACTATATAACAATGCGATGAAGTCTGCCTAAGTTTTGAATATGTACCCACAAAAGTTAATTTCTTTGAGGCAAAACGAACCAGTGCAGAATGGGTGCAACTGCTTCTTGAACGGATTTGAAACATCACAGCCGTTGGAAACACACCTCCTGATCGCTTGCATTTGTATTTGGTAACAGGGATTCACTTTGAGTGTTGACCCCTGGGTGGGTACAGCTTAACTTTTCAATTGCATCTCTGTCATCTTTCCAGGCTTTGGTGTCATCTTTTAAAAAGCAAATTTTATTGAAGACACTTAAATTCAAAAAAGTGCCCACCCTGTCAGCACACATCTCAAAGAATTTCACAGCTGGGTGTGTAGGTGGGACCCCCTTGGAGATCAAAACCTTGGTGTCATTTTTATTCTCCTGTTTATAAGTGCTAGATATATATATGTAGCATTTGATGTGTCTCTTTGATGGGGCAGAGACGTTACCTGCCAAGCCTCACAGCGCCATGTACCTTGCTGGGCCTTGATGGAGCCCATCTGAGGAGACCCTGAGCCAGTGGGAGGAACCCAGCTTTAATCCTGTCGAGGCCACCTACGGTCTAAGCAAACTGACAAATTATTCCATCGCTTTGAACATCAATGTACTCATTGATGTAAATGAGGATGGAATGTGAAATAAGGACATACGGATAATATTTCCTTTTCTTTTATGATTGCTGAGAATCAGAGAAAATAAAATTAGAAATTCTGTGTATACCGAATGGTAAATGAGAGGCAGATGCCCCGGTGGGTAACTGTGAACGCACCACTAAAACATTCATTTGTGGCCAGGAAGTTGGTTATAACAGAGGGGCTAGTGGAGCATGGTGCTGTAACTCAACTTTTCCACTGTTCCTGGATAATTTTTATGGTACATCAGATTCACATGGGGCTTCATTTGCGACAGAGTAAATATAATAACCTTAAAAAAAAGAAACTAGAGTTTGATGATTGTTTTCTTGAATTTCTAAGAAAATAAGGTCCCTATTTGCTAAATGACTTTTGTTTCTTCTTTTGAGGTGTTGGAGAAAACTTGACAGACCCATCTGTTATAAAACCTGGAGACAAACAGTGAGTTATGAATGATCACTTGGACAATTTTTTTTGAAAAAAGTTTATTTTAGCTGTGACATAAAACTATAAAAATTATACATGATTAATGGGGTACCATGTGTCATTTTGATAGATATAAACATTGTGTAATGCTTAAATGGTTCATGACCTTTTTTTTTCTTTCCTTTTTAAGCAGTAAAAATGAGTTAGAGAACATTGTCAACAAAACTCAGTGTTAGTTTCTTGGTACATTTTTTTTTTGGGTGTTGGTGCCAGGGCTTGAATTTAGGGCCTGAGAGCTGTCCCTTAGCATTTTTGTTCAGGGCTGGAGCTCCATAGCTCTAACTTCTGAATTTTTGCTGGTTAATTGGAGATGAGACTTTTGGACTTTCCTGTGTGGGCTGGCTGGCCTTGAAATATTCCTTCACAGCGGAGATTACAGGCATGAGCCACCATTCCCTGGCTACCAATGCACGATTGTAAAATCATTTTATTAACATACATGCTTTGTTTTATTGTAAAGGTGATGTACAGAGGGGTTCCAGTTACACAGTCAGGTCATGAATACATTTCTTTTGGACTAGTGTCTCCTCCTCCCTCCCTTCCTCCCATTTTAATATACATGCTCTTTGCCTAGCTCCTATAATTTGTTTTGCATATAGATTTAAAACCTTAGGATATTCTTTTTTTTATTGTGAGAGTACCGTACAGAGGAGTTACAATTACATGGGCAAGATAACGAGTACATTTCTTATCAAGCATTGTAGCCTCCTCCTTTGTTTCCCCTTCCC